GTTGAAAATCGCCGTGGATCTGGCTAACACCAACAATAGAAGGAATGATCGGGGATGGCTTGGAAATTAGTCTTCCTCCGATGAGGAGGCGCCCGACCCAGACGAAGTTCTTACAGATTTTATGCTTTGATAGACATATATAGATTCTTTGTAGTACACCTAGTTATTATTCTAGTAACTGTTAGAATTTTTAGGGTAGTCAGTAACGGGTATCACTTGATTTCATTTCTCTATGTTATTACTAATTCGTGCTTTCTCAATGTTTAGTTATTTTATGCTAATTTACATCTGTAATTCTTTCAGAGTCATAATGAAGATCTCAAACTTATGCTTTCAGCCCCATACGTATATGAACAAAGGGAGGAAGGGGGAGGAGAGCAGAGTGAAGGAGGGAGGAAAGGGAAAAGGGTGGAGAGGGGGGAGGACGAAAAAATGGGGGGGGGGGGCTCAGGGAGGCAGGAAGCGAAGGAGAAGTGTGGAAGAGGCGTAAGGAGAGGTAGGAGTGAAGAAAACAGTCAAAAAGCGCACAGTTAAAACCAGACGCACATATACTGTCAGTTGCTTCACATATGTGAGCAAAACTGATAGCTTCCGAAAGAACATGAAGAAAATAAAGAGTAGATGCACCCCCACTTAACCATGCTTCTTTATGATGAAGTACTCATCAGAAGCAAAAAACTCTTTGAAATCTGCGTTTTCTTCTTCCTCGGTCACCTGAAATTAAATTGCCTCATATGGGTATTTCATATGAAAAAGGAACATCCTGTAGAAAGAAGAAACCTATAGAGTCGTTGAGAATTGCCCCATGATGAAAAATAGTGAAAAAAAGAAGAATCACGCCAAGATACTATAGTTAGAACGACCAAAAAATTTCGTCGAACGAATGAATTTCGAATAATCGGCTTTTGAAAAATATTCGAACGAACGAATATCATTCGATCTGTAATTTTCAGATTATTCGAATTCGAATATTCGAATAATGCTACATTTCAAAATTCGAATGAACGAACATTCGAATAAATGGGGTTGGTCGAACATTCAACTATTCGAATAATCGAATAATTACATATGATCGAATATTCGACTATTCGAATAATTCGAATAACCTGACACCTCAAACAATGCTGGTTTTTTTCTTTGTTGCGGTTTTCTGCAAAAAAATTTATCGCTATATCTTTGTAGCTGATAATTATATGTGCAGCAAGTGGCAGGATGACTGGGTTATTGTCGTTGGTTAGCAGAAGGAACTTCACTCAAACATGTAGTTCGAGGTGTTCATGGCCTTTTAAGATGGCTACTAAGCCTTACTTTGTAATCGTTTCAAGTCCGCATTTATTTTTCCTCACAGAACTTTCTTTCGAAGCTACACAGAACTTCTTCCCAAAGCTAAAGATTTAACATGGAAAACATTTTAGATTAGGTAGTCCTTTGTAATTTAATCGTAATGGTCAGCATTGCGTGAGTTCTAAGAATAGCACTGGAGGGGCACGAGGAAGGCCTACATTGATAGAATGAAATGAATGAACCAATAAAACTCAATGAAGCTCTGCTATTGTCCCGAAAGTTTTGTCCTTTTTTTCAAACCAGTATGAAACCACGCACAATAAAGACTTGAATGAATTTCAACATTCGATGCAGCTTTTTCTTCTCTTTTTTGAGAATACATTTTCGAACCACAATCTTGTATGCTTTCTTTAATAATTGCCAAAATTCTCCATCCGTCAATTTTAGCTGCTCAAAGTTAGGCTACTTTTTCTGAATTTCACTCCAAAGTTTCGGAAAGGACTAAGTATGGATCAAACAGAGCAATTATAAACACAAGGTAATATTTTGGATTCTCTTAATTTGCTGTTTTTAGCTTCAAAAACATTATATCTTCGGAAGTCTCGATTTCTGGCAAAGTCATGAAACACACAATTGCAGCAGATACACGAAAGCTTTTGAAACTTTTGCGAATTAAAATATCTTATCAAACATTATTTATGCTACATAACCAAGTTTGATTTGCTTTGAAAAAGCAGCTTCTTGGAATTTTCGGTACTTTCATCAAAAAGGCGCAGTTTTAATCAAAAATACTTATAAGGAACTTGGTAAACATGGCCCATGTAATCTAAAATGGGTACAATGTAGCCAAAGGCTTGCTCTACACGACATTCATCAGCGCCTTTTGAAAACATCAGGATAACATCAATTTTGAAACTCAGTAAAAATTTGGCGTTACTTCTGAGCTGCTCAGGAAGCTGGTATTAACATTGCAAAGACAGAGTAGATTAGACAGCAAATACAGCTGTAAGAAAGAAGATATTAAATCGTACCTGAACTGATCATGGATCGGTGTTCTCTGAGTCCTAGTGAGCGATGATAAAAAACGGACAAAACTTCCAGGACAGCCTAATACTTTTGTGCTCATCTAAATCTGAAAAAGGAAACTCGTGGTAACATCGTATATTAGCTGATAATCTAATACTTGTTGGGGATTATCAATCCCCGAGTTTCACGGTTTCTGCTGTAGGATTGAATTCTCACAAAGCTGTTTTAGTTTTATATTTGAGTTTTGTACTTTTGTTGTAAGGGATCTTCCATATCTTTTACTCAGGTTCAAAATAATTATTGTTCAACCTGAACGCCTACTCGGAGTATTATTCCTCTACGAACTTTGCAATAATGCAAAGTTCGTAGAGGAATAATACTTCGAGTAGGCATGTAACACTACACGCCTACACGCGCCTATACGCGTACTTCGTGTAGGCGTGTAATTCTAACATTAGTTTTCTACGCCTCCTGACTATAAGGGCAGCTGATTTGAGTATACTGACTGACATATAAGCTGCCGCCACAGATCAAGCGGCTCAGGTCCTCACGACCGCCTTGCTCTGGCCTTGCGTTGTAACGTATCTTCAAAGTATTTTGACACGCGAGCGGTGATTAGGCTGGCAAGGCAAATGAAGACCTCGAGATGAAGGATAGAATGTTGCCTATACCTGCTGCCTTAAAGGACTGCTGGTCCTTCACATGCTTATGCAAGCTGTCCGAAGACCAGTGGTGCGCTAAAGGGCGCCTAATGATGGCTTTGCTTCTTCACCCAATTTAGAGCTTGGATCTGCGCGTGATTACGTGTATCAACTTCTCAGACGCGACTTCCAAAAGATAGTTTACCACTCCAAATAAATTATGCTTAAGGCTTGTCATCACTATGCTCTGGCATGACTCGCGACTCATGCCTTAAAAAGGGAAGCTTGCTAGCCATTCTGTCATTTGATGATTCATTTGTGTGATTGACCAATCGGGGACATACTTGTACTCAGTGTAGAACAGCCAAAGTTTTCTTTTGACATCGAATGTTCGAATGAATGCTCTTAAATATTCGAATATTCGAATGACTGTCTTTCAAGTTGGCTCGAATATGCGAATATTCGAATAACCGTCTTTTAAAATTCCTCGAATAAACAAATATTCGAATAACTCATTTTTCCAAATCATCGAATGAACGAATTATTCGAATACAGGTCTTTTTCATTTATTCGACTATTCGAATAATTGAATAATTGGACTGTCTCGAATATTCGAATATTCGAATATTCGAATAGTCGAATATTTCGAACAAATTATTCGAACACGAATATTCGATTCTAACTATACATGATACTCCAAGCGATGCAGTTCCAGAAAGTTCACCTCAATTCAAACGAGGATTTGTCTGGTCAAAACAAGAGAAGCTGTTTCCTAACTTACTTTTCACTCTCTCTTCACTGAAATGTACCTAAAAATGTAAAATAAGCGAAGAAAACACTGAAAAACCCTTACCTGGAACATCACGCACCAGTGCTGCAGCGTCTGCAGGCGCACTATATATACCGTGAAATCTACTCGTCTATACATACATGCAGCCGGCTGTAAAAATGCCCGGAAACGGTTCGTCCACAGGGACATACGTCAAAAAAAAACAGCTCGTCGTCAAAGTGTAAATTCATACAAGTTTTCGTAATTTTCCGCACATAGTTCCAATTTGCATACGAGGCAGGACGGATATTTGCGTCTTCACAGCGAATTATATGTCCATATGCTTCTCGTTGTAACAAATCTCATTTGATTTGGAACGCAGTTTCGAATATCTGCGCTTGCATGGAGAGTATTTTGGGGCGGATTGTTGATTTGCAGAGGTTGAAATCAGTAAGGCAGTAAAGCATTTGCGAGTGTGTTGATGGGCATGGAAGGCGTTTAATGGAAGTTTTGTCTACTTCGTTGATATAGAAGAAATCCGCTTTTTCTCTTTAGTAATCTGATTAACATGTCAAGAATGAATGCACTGTTTAACTCTCGAACTCTCTCACATCAAGTAAATTTGTTATGTACAGAGTGACCGAACTATGGAAACCAAAGAACAGCTTTCGCAAAAGCTTCCTGTGAAAAAAAGCTTTTCGCAAGAGCTTCAACAATGTATCTTTTGCATATTCTTGGGCTACGATTAGCCATGCGGCCTCTCAAAAGCCCTTTCAGGTGTTGAACCGTGTTGCTTTGTTGAAAAATAAGAAAAAATAGCGCTTTAAACTTATGATAATCGATCAAAATATTTGCTGCCGATAAGCTGTTCTGTTGATCAAAATCATACGTGTCTAATCGAAGAAACCAAGAAATAGGATTTTCTCGGAACTACTCGCGTATACTGCTACATTCACGGTCGAATCAGTTCACATGATCACGTGTGTTACAGTCACAGAGTCCTTTGGCTTCTCATTCTGGATTCTTGAAACCCTTCAGGTAAGTGTTTTCGGAGTTTTTGTTATTTTCTTCCCTATCTAGATACTAATCTTGTCAAAGTGATATAATCGACAACAATCGTTTATCCTTGCTATTTAGAAATCTCAAATAGGAGAGTAGCGATTTGGAGATGGTAGAAACGAGAGGAACGAAGTAGCGATCACCACAGTAGTTTCAGGTTGAGGGATTCACATCGGATAATACATAGCTGCTGTTTGCTCTATGCTCGTGATTGAAGAGCGATGTTCCGCCAAGGCGATTCTCTTGAAGACTGCATTGAAATCCGAATTGGTCAGGTTTGATTCGTACTTTTTGCAAACAGATTTTGAATAGAACAAAGAAGAGTTAAACGGGAGCTTGGAGGGGCCGTAGTGTTGCGGCTTTCTATGCCTTACTCCCTGTCATTGACTTTCCCGTAACCTGCCCTTTTGCACCATGAACGAACGATCACTTGACCGCTCCGTGACATCTCGGAATTAGTAAGTTAGGTAGTTGCAGCAAGTTTTCAGTTAAAGAGGTGAAGGTAGCAAACCAGCTCCACAAACAGCAAATTTCTTCGGTTTTAGTGACTACCCTCAGTAGTGGCGTACCCAGGATTTCCGTTCGTCGGGTAGGGTCGACAAAAATTCTTTTTGATGAAGGTGCATGCTGTTGAAGGCATTCCAAAAACTTTCGGTATGCTTCCAAAATTCTCGCGGGGCCATAACTCCAAAATCTTAAAAAAGGGAACGTGGAGCTAGCCAAGCCCCTCTTTCTTAAAACTGGACTGGAAAATTTTAAAAGTTAAGTTTCATTCTTTTGTAAGTATGAAAAAGTCACTTGCACACTTGGGTAACTCATGTAAGTAAGCTTCAAAATGTCGCGAACCGTCCCGGGGGGGGGCACTGCCCTGAGGGCAAGGTTAAATTTAGATTATAGAAGTCTAGGATTTGGTATAATCAAATAAACATTGGAGATACCCACAACAAGATTTTCAAAAGAGACTCTGTACCAGTGGTGCTACCCCTATACTGTTTATTGATACCTGGGCACTCAGGGTGCCAATTGCCACCTATCGTTATTCTTGACATATACCTGTACCAATACGCCCTGTTTTGTTGGAAAATTGAAGGACATATGTGTGTCAGATACTGTCTTGCGTGTCAAATGTATCACATGTAATTTGCAGCAAATTTACAACTCCGTCATGTGAATATATCAGCTTTAACATACACACTTATATTCACGATAACACTTAATGTTCGTAACAGTGTGCAGAGATGTCTGAGTGGCTTAACTCAGAGCGCATTAGCTCTTTCGCTTTTCTTTTTCGCGGTTTTCGTTTCAATAGTGATAGCGCAACGAAAATCTCTTTCTCATGTAATCGCAAAAAGCTGCTTCTTCTAAAAAAAGATTGCGACAGGTCGGTCAATGAACATGTAGCACTAAAGACGCGTTGGTCAAAAGGTGTATGACTCACAAAAAGAGGGCGCTGTGAAGACAAGAAAACGATAGGTATCCCAAAACTATTTGAAACTTTGTAATATAGTAAACTTGCCATTATGTGTCAGCCTTCGGTCAAACATTGCTCATAAGTTTGTCGTACTGTTGTTAACAAATCTTGGAAAATTATGCTGTTCACTTTATGCATTCTTAGGTAATCGTTTTTTAAACAGAAAGTTCTTAAGGCTGTATCGATCTATTAGGTTGGCACATAAGTAATGCAACTTTTTATATAACTTTTGTCTATTTGAACGTAGCGCATTCATTTTTTGGCAATACAAGGAATATGATGTAAGCTTTTAATGCACACATTTTTGTCGAATTTTACCATCTTATGTGAAGATTACGGTAGGTTTACGGTACTATGGTAAAAATTTTAGAATGCATCAGATTTTACTGAAACTTGGCCTGTAGGGCTTATTTGACATGCTGATCACAAAAATGATATCCGTTCCGCATGAAAAGGCCTCGTTCGTGAGATCAAAAAATGAATTTCATTTTAGCGACAAATGAATATGATATTCGTGTTTACCGCATAGGATTACCCTATAGTGCAAAGTTATAGCGAATTCTGACTTTTCGCAGCTTAGTTATTGACAAATTGCCTTTAAAACTTGACGCATTTGACTTGTTCAACTTCTCAAAGGCGTCCCACCTTAATTTGTGTTTGAATTTCATTTCTTTTTCACTGATTCCAATGTGCCAATTTCCAGCTACATGCTGCCTATAATTGCTTTTTCATATGTTTGAATCAGGTTTCGTAGGGCTTCATGTTTGCCAAAAAATCGTGAAACCTCGATTTTCAGCAGTTTTCAAAAAATGCTTAGATTTTTTGTACTACGTTATCAAAAATCAAACGGTTTGCGCAGACTTGCAGCTTACATCACGATCTACATGATGCCACAAAATGAGATTGCTACATAAAATAGGAAAAAAGTTACGGGAAAAGTTGCAAAACTTATGTGCCAACCTAATAAGTATGTCCACCGTTTAAGCATAAAAACTCCTTTGTTCAGCCTCGCATTATAAAGCTAAGTTTACTCTATGAACACAGCGCAAAACAAGACCCCTCTCTCTTGCTTTACATTTACAAACAAATTTTGAATTATTGTCTGCCGCTAAGAAGAAAAGCTTTAAGAGCAAAATTTTGAAAAACTGGAAACTCTGACACCAAATCAGTATGAATCGCCCATAAAGCTAATTTCATCCATGAAGTTCGCATGTGCATAAGAATTTTGTTCGAAAAATACGCCTGCACATTTCTTCCCTTAATGACCTCAAAAACCCGTATCCTGCGCCTGCTGCCATAGCGAGCGGTCTTTTCTTTTGCTCTCTGTCCTAGCCTATCTATCTTTTTCTTGCTTGATCATAGTGGTCGCTTTTCTTCACACTCGTCATATTCTCATCTACTCTTTTTTCTCTTGCTGCTTATTGTAAACTCTGACAAACCTCAGTCTTTGAAACTCTGTGGGGGGGGGGGAGGGAGGGGAAAGTTTAATTCTGTTTGTTTCTGATTGTTGTCTTTTCATTGATTTTTGATATTTTCTGGGTCATCGACTGATAATGCCAGCCCGCTCTAGGTCATGTTCTCAAGCGACTACGTTTCAATCTCTAGGGTAAACTCGATATTCAAAGTGGCCACGTTGCCGAGGGCGAAGTCGCCGGTGACGTGAACTGCAATGATCTCTCTGTAAATGAGATCATCGATTCCATATTGGAGCGTATTGGTGATCCAGTCATAGAACAGATGGTTTTGGCAGTAAGAAGGAAAATCCCTAAAGAAAACGGAAAGAGGGAGAGGAGCGTAGTCCTTGCAGGATTATCTAAAGCTCCACCCGAACAGTCGCTTCTGGATAAAAAGCAACATCAGAGGAGGATGTGGCCCAGGTAGATGTGCTCCAGGTCGATACATGGTTTTGCGAGATTTATCGCTTGGACAAGATAACTGAAGGCAAGTCCCGCTTTGTCAAATGTGTTTTTTTCGCGTGGTCTCAAGCCTTATCAAATTCCTATCGTTTACGTCACTCTCTTTTATCCCATGTGTATTTGAGTAAAAGCATGACCCCTGCGGAATGCCAGCTAGATTCTGACTTACATCAGCGTTTGAGAAAAATCGAGGGGAAACAGTCAAAGAATGGGTAGTGTATAGGGGAGAAATCAAACATATATCGCAACTTCCTTAACGTCCCACAAAAAAAACGCTTAGTTATGCCAGATACTAATAAACATTTAACTTGTTATTTGTTTGATTCAAGAAGTTTAGTGAACAAATTACACTTCCTTCATGCTTTCCTACATCATCATTGTCCAGACGTTCTTTTTGAAACTGAATCATGGCTAAGCTCTAAAGTGCTAGACTCTGAGATTGTTATTGATTTTCCATATTTGATATATCGATCAGATCGCAAGGGCAAAAGAGGAAGTGGAGTTTGTTGTCCAGTGAGAAATGATTTGCTTGTGCAACGGATAGATTGCACGCAATATATGAAATCAGATATTATGTGTTTGGACATTTTTTCGCCTCATTTCCAATCTTCACTGAGATTCATACTTATTTATCGACACCTTCCTCTACTGTTGAAGATGATGAAACTTTGGCAGAAGTTTTTGTGGACTTTTGCGCCCTTCCGTCTCAGTCAGTCGTACTTGGCAATTTCGATATAAATATGATTTCTATTCTAAGAACTACACAAAACGAGCGCTTAATAGGTGCTCTCCTGGGATGTGACCTTGTTCAGAATGTATCCGTACCAATTAGAGGTAGAAGTGCCATTGATTAGTATTCTCTACTCCTAACACTGTCATAAATCTACAGCCGCTTCCTCCTTTCGTTACATCTAATCACAAATTGATAGCTTTTGATACGGAAATTTTCATCTTTGGAAAACTATTTTCTGCCGTTTCCTAATTTTTACAAAGCCGATTATACAAAGATGAAAAAGGTAGTTCTGCGTCTAAACTGGGTGGATATTTTTGGTGAGTTTGAATCGGTCGATGATCTATGTTATTGTTTTTGTTTGGTCAATTACGATACTCTCGCTAAATTTGTTCCTTCTACCTTCAAAAAAGTTATACTACATGCGTATTTTTAACATATTCATGACTTGATTGAGTGAGAAATACGTCCCTTTTCTATCCTCCCTGGTCCTCTGACCAGGGAGGATAGAATAAAATTTGTAAAAATTTGGAATATTATTCAAAAAGTTTTTGAAGCGTAACGAGCTTTGTCTTGCAAACCGGGACAACAAAGAATTGTTTCGATATCTCAGATATCGGAACCAAAGGTAATGCTGAATTACCGAATTTGGTGGATGATTCTGAGGTATCTTTCAAAAGCGACAAAGAGAGGGCCAGTGCTCTGGCAAGATATTTTGCTAAGGTGTTTGACAATGATAGTTTGAGAACCAGGATCTATTGAATTTCTCCTAAGAATACCATTATTGTTACAGCATGTGATGATGAAGCTCAATCCTCATACTGTCTAAGAAATTCTAAACAGACTGAAAGCTGTTACAACATTCACATATGATGGAATTCTCCAGATTGTGCATAGGAGATGTGCACGAATATTGTCCTTTCCCCTTTTATTGATACTCTCAACGTCTCAACGATTTGCTAAGGTACCAAAAATTTGGGAAGAAGCTCTCGTTACTGCTATCCGAAAGAAAGGGTCACAAAACACCTTCTCGAATTATCTGCCTATAAGCATAATGCCTCCTGCAGGAAAAATCCTAGAGAAGATAATACGAGCTAAGCTTTATGATTGGTTTGACAAAAATGATGTGCTTCCTTCTGAACAACAGGGATTTTTATTGGGTTGTTCTACACAACTCTACTGGTTGATTCTACTTTTGATTGGATAATTGCTTTGAATAACGGACAGTCGGTAGATATTATCTACTACGACTTTTCAAAAGCTTTTGACAAGGTAAATCATAGCGAACTCACACATAAGCTGGAAAACTGGCATAAGAGCGACTTTCCTGTGTTAGCATCTCACCTAAATATAGGGGAAAGACTGTATGTTGGAGAAGACTTTTAGGATCGTTTATCATTGTAGTATGGCATACCCCACTGTAGCATTCTCTCGCCATTGCTGTTCCTTATTTTCGTCGCCGAGCTCCCTAACTTTCTAAAAACCCATCAGAATCTATCAGATTAAGTCATATTTTTGTTACGATCTCAACCAACAAAGTAAAGCATTTACTGCAATTTCTTCATCTCCAAAAAGAATGGAGATGCGATCAAAAGAGTGAGGTATTCCGGTTAATGCCTCCAAAATTACGATAATGCACCTTAGGTATTCCCTATGTAATGCGTACAACTACAATGATATCAATCTTGAATACTCAAACTCTTCACGATCTTGGTGTCATGATAGATAACTCTCCTACTTTTGCTACTCATTTGGATACTGTCATAGAAAAGGCGTCACCAACGCTTTTTACAATTTTTAGAAATATACATAGTAATAATCCGGAAATCTTCTTGCGATTTTACAAAAGTTACGTGCTTGCTTTTGCTTCATGCTTTTGTGATTACGCATCTCTTGCATAGTCTACAACAAGGTTAGAGAGTGACTGCTATTTACATTGCCTGTTTTGTTACTAACCATAGTGCTTTCACCAATGTATGATCAACCAGCCTCATAAACCTTGAGCGAGAACTCGATGTTTATCCAACAATTTGAAGTTTCTAACAGTTATTCGTCATTAAACTAATACGTAAGAGGGTTCAGCGCTCCAGCTTCACTCTTGTACCCATCATTAGTTTTTTAGATTTACATTATATGCATCGAATTTTTCTCAAACGATTTCTGTTTACCTTATGATTGCATCTTTCTAATGAAGGTACATGCAAAGGTGCGAACTTACTGCGTACTAACATCCACATAAGTTGAAATGTTAAATTACTTCTGGGTGCCTGCATCGAAGATTTAGATTTCCAATCTTACCTATAATAGGGAAAATATGGGGACGGCATCTGCAACGCTCCACTGTCAAAGAGACCAGAAATGATGGTGAATTTTTCTATTTGGAAACAACCAGAATGTTCGTATTGGAAATTCCCTACATGTCACGAATATGAACAATATAAAAATATTTAAAAAGTTAATGAGACATTAGGTGATAAAGTAATGAAGATAATTGAGAGTAATCGGCGAAATAAAAAATTGTCATCTGTTCTCCAGAAGTTGTGATAAGACATGGCGGTCTCAAATTCCTCTGGTCTGAACAAACTATTGAGTTTTGATAGGGAATTTGTTGAGTGAGCTTTGCCCCCTTCAATATACCACATTGACAAGGATTTCTTCAACAGTGGAGTGAATTGGGCTGCAAAATGGAGAAATGTGCCTGTTTTGCAGAGGCAGGTCAAATCGTAAATAGTCAATTGCTAGGTTAAATTCAATAAGCTGACTTACTATATTGCAAAAAAAAAAACGCTTTTTCGCGTTATGCTCTTCACCGTCCACTCACATCTGTGGTTGGTGAGGTTTCCGTGTAGAACAGCGACACCCCTGACTACGTAATTGCCAGTCCCGCTACAAACGTTAGTTTTCGGAACGAAGAAATTGCTCTCGAAGGTAAATGCTACTGAGTTGTTCTTACAAGAGTAATGAAATTATATTCAGCTCATTAGTGTTTAACAGTATATAGCTGACTGCAAGGAATCTCCCAGACTGAACGCCTGCGAGCGTGTCCCTTGCGCGGCTAACGGCATTCAAGCGCGTGAGTCATCATAACGCCGTTACTCGACAGCCGCGTTGCAGGCACGCTCGTGTGCGTCCAGCTTACAATTACTCAAAGTACGGGGTGGGGGGGGGGGGTCGATATTGTGCTACATGGGATTTTCGACAAGCTCGAAAATGGGTGTGGTGTCTAGTTGCGAAGAAGCACTCTAAGCGACTCAAAATCAGATATAATATTACTCGTATTGCAAAAATCACGTCGAGGTCTTCCTCCAATTTCCATGAACTATGTAAAGGTCGGATAAAATCGCTGTAACTTCAAGCAGATTGATTCTATTTTTGAATCTACTAACTTCATTGCAAAGACAATTTTGTCGTTCTCGTGATAGTACGGAGTGATGCTCTGCAGGGCCTGGCACCAGGGGCAATTATAAGGCTGGAAATTGTTTCATGTGAAAAGTCAAGGGGGTTTTACCGTACTCACAATCGTACCCATTACATGCCTCCTAGACATGTTCAGCCCCATGAAGACCAGATTTTCACACGAATACTGTGTTCGAACTTGATAACGTTTAAGACGCCAATTTGAAAACTAACTTTTTTGCACAAGGTGGTAAAGAAATGGGTTGATTACGGCGCACATAAAATTATGTTACCAATTCTGGTATGTAGACGGATAAGGGATGAGGAAAAAACTTTAAAAAGTTGTGAAAATTACGCCAATGAAAGGCGCGGTAAGTGTTTCTTTGAGAATTTCAACTACAATATGGGGAAATGACTCGTTTGCAACCCACAGATGACGATGTGCGAAATGGTGCGTATACGCGCATTAGAACTGAGGAACAAAATATGAAAAATTATTGAAAAGAACTTATGTAATTAAAGAGCTTGCCTATTTTTTTCTAACGCCTTTTTTGCCTATTTTGCCCAACTGAGGTAGAAAAAACTTCTACTTCACGTAAATTTTTTCAATTTACATAGATCTTTTCTAAACCTAAAGCTTACTATAAAATAACATTTTTGTTTTAAATCTCCTCCTCACTCCTTTGCTAGGGTCCGAAATAACAAACGAAAAGCTCTAAAGGAAAAAAGCGCGATTCAATCCAAACTGCGCAGTTGGTGCCAAAGAGGAAACCGTGATATCAAATGGAAAAGGCGTATTTGTTCCAAAGACCATTTGCCACCCTTGTGCTGAGCTCCGATGCTCTTGTTGCTGATCGGAAACCACTTTCTGTTTCTTTGAAATAATAAATATGTCCAGACGACTTACTGTATCATGCTTTATATGACTTTAATTGGTATCAAAAAAATTTGACAGTTTCAATAAAAGGCTTGTTCTGATAGCATTAAACTTGTTGTTTGATCACTGCTGCTCTTACTGAGACGCAGGGCTGTCGACAGGTTGCCAAAATGTTCCTTCTTCCACTGGTAATCCTTTTCATTCCTTTCATGGCAGAAAAAAAATTATAGCTGTTTCAGATTCTCTTGGTTCTGCCAAGTGTTGCATTGTGTAAGTTAACCCACTCGAATCAAAACAATCGTGTTATAGCTGTATACAACGTAGTTCCACCAAAATATTACAATCGAATCTAAAGAAGATCATTTAAAACAGTCGATACTGCTGCGGTATACCTATATCACAGTTTCTTGAAGCCCTATAGAGGCAAATAGCATAATTTCTGTCATAATTAATACGCTTACAATGTAGTGCAGAAACATCCCCGAATGAGTAGCTTAGAAGAGAATGATGGGTGAGAGAACTAACAAGGGAAGGATACTTGGTCGCAGTGGCGTTTCCATGAACAATGTATATTATCTAATAGAACATCGAACATTGATTTTGAATGCTTTCGCTATCTGCAAAGCTCCTCCGAGAGGGGAATTATTGGAATTCTTCGAAACGAAAATTGGAGAATTTAGCTAAGGCAAAGCTAGAGGGACCCGTCATACTTCGCCGAAAGAGGCCCAAAAGCGCAAGAGCAAAAAAGCGCAAGAGCGCCAGAAAGAGCCGGAACGTTGGAATAAATTCTTGCTTGGTAGAACTATTATTTTGATGTGCAGACGGCAGAAAATGAAACTAGAAGACGCAGTTACGAAATCAAAACACATGCCTTAGCGCCGAAACTTGCGCGTGGGAGGGGCGCTCCGGCTCTTTCTGGAGCTTTTGGGCTTTTTGGGCTTTTTTAAGCACTTTTGGGCTCTTTTGGAAGGTTTCGGGCTTTTTTCGGCGAAGTATGATGCGTTCCTAAGCCCTGGCCAGACTTCGCTCAAAGCGCCCAAAAGCGCTCAAAAGCGCCCAAAAGCGCCCAAACTTCTCTTCTCTCTCATCTCTTTCCTCAAAGTGAAGAGACACCAGAGGAATTTGGGCGCTTTTGAGCGAAGTCTGGAAATTTCCTAGGTGTTGAGATCTTTCCGATGCTTGAAAAGAGTGATGACTAACATAAGTTTATTGCAGTAAGGTAAACTGCATAAAGCGCCTTGGCAGTAAAGGGGGCAGCAAAGCTTACAGATCTGATTGATTCTATCGCACCAGCGCGTTCAAATGTTTGTCTCAAAAAATTCCCATAACTTCCCTCTCAGAAGAGCTTTGCAGATAGCGAAAACAGACTTGGAATCAGCGTTCCAAGCTCTGTAAGACTGTATATCTTATATATAAAACTGAATGTATGTTTGTCTGTCTGTCTGTATGTCTGTATGTCTGTATGTCTGTGTGTACGTATGTTCCGAATAGAAAATTCCATTTCTAAACCGATCCGGACCAAACTTGGCACACATACACATCGGGCCCCGGCGGGTGTCATAGACCACATTTCGTCATCGATCGATATCGATTTCATCGATTTTTTGCAAAATTTGAGCTACGAGGCTGGGAGTTGGCAGAGGGGTGTAATCGAGCATGCTGATCTTATATATAAAGCTGAATGTCTGTATGTATGTCTGTCTGTCTGTCTGTCTGTACGTATGTGCGGAATAGAAATTTTTATTTCTGAACCGATCGGGACCAAACTTGGCACACATATACTTCGGGGCAGGGAGCGTGTCATAGGCTACTTTTCGTTATCGATCGATATCGATTTTATCGATTTTTTGCAAAATTTGAGCTACAGGGCTGGGAGTTGGCACAGGGGGGTAATCGAGCATGCTGATTACGAATATAATAATGACAGGCCCGGGCGGAGCCGGGTTTGCCAACTAGTTACGAATATAATAATGACAGAGCCGGGCGGAGCCGGGTAAGTCAACTAGTTTTCATATAAAAATGCCACTTTGACTACGTATACATTCCTTATCAGATCCTTACGGTGTTGCCGCAGCGCAGTTAAGGAGTCCATGGAATTTCGTGAGTTGTCGGCAACGCTAGTTAGCACCGTATGCAAAGCAATGTGTGTTCTTTGCCACACAAAAGCCTCATCCTTATTCAGAAGCGCACGGGACGGTGATTTCGCAGTAGCGATATTCCGACATGCAAGTTGTTATTTAAGGGTTTTTCATCATGTTATTTCCACATACGCTAGCGGATTTGTTTAAGGTCTTAAATAGAATAACTTATCGTATAAATCTGAAAAAATGGAAAAACGAAGAAATTTTTAGGTTCAAGAAAATACGGTAAATGGATTTCAGCTATACAGGGTGTCCCAAAAAGATGTGCACACTGTTTGATTTTGAATAACTCTCTTATTATGAAGTCTTTCGAGAAGCGGTAAGCGCCATTTTGTAGGGCTGGCTTCATCTTAGATTCGCAGTATGGAGCGAATCACCGACCGCTCTTCGTTAGTGTAGGATAACGGTAGAAATTTGAAAGAGGATTTTGGCCATGAAAGGCCATATTTTGCCTCAGAAAGGAATCAAAACAGCCTGAAAACTTTTACACTAGGCCAATTAGAGTTGCTGATTCTAATTGTTAACTTCCCAACCTATTATGATGTTTCACTGAAGAGTTACGCGAGGTAAACAGTAGCGGCCATTTTCTCAATGTTCCTAAAAAGTGCGGTCACACCGTTTAGAAAGCTTCGCAATCTTGAGGATAGTTGAGTATTGAACTCAGCGTCCCTAAAAACCCTATTACACAAGTTTTCACGTCTTTTTGAAAATTTCTGAAACGGCAGCTTTTTCCACATTGACACCATATGTTCCAATTTTCTACTGTATTCCTACAGTAACGAAGAGCGGTCGGTGATTCGTTCTATATTGTAAATCTAAGTTGAAGCCAGCTCTACAAAATGGCGCTTACCGCTTCTCGAAAGACCTCATATTGAGAGAGTTATTCAAAATCAAACAGTGTGCACATCTTTTTGGGACACCCTGTATATTAGGTCGTTTCAAAAGTAGTTTCGCTTTTTTCAAATGGGCGTCACATTTGATGGAACAAAGGTTTTTGAGAGATCTTGGAAGCATTCGATACAGAATTTCATTCTCGTTCTAATGGTTATGAAATTGTTGCAAAATAGTCGATGAACTTTCAGAAAATATGCAACCCATGCTTTTTGAGATGGTCAAGTTTTACGATTTCTTAAAACTTTCATATCAACCCTCCGAAAAAGTGCAAGTAACGCAAGCAAACCCTACAGAATGCAAAACTACTGTTTTCTCCTTTCCATAGCTTGTCATACAATCTTAACAGATTTTTAACTGATGCTACCGATTTCCATATTTGGACAGCTAAATCCTCGTAGAACATCAACAGAAGAGCAGCTCGCGCACTATTCGATGCAGCATATTCTCCTCTTTCTCTTGTTTTCGATTCATTTAGTTTCCGGGGAGAAATCATAATAACTCATTTTTTTAGCGAGCCCCAGGCTGTACCCGAAAAACTCGAAATTTGATATTTCGAACTCGTAAACCCTCACTTGCTTTGTAAAATTGATGCTAACTCATAGTACCATCTTGGTAGTCTCAAATTCCAAAAAATTATGATGTTTGATGCGATTGTGGCTGAGGTGGGCCTGCCAAAATCCGATGGTTCTGTTGAAAAATCTTTTAAAAATTTACGGCGAGCTACGAGAAAGAGATAAAAGTTGTAATATATTTTATGAGGTTTACTCTATCGAATCGTTACTGAAACTCCTTCTGAAGATTGATGTGAAAGTTTTAAAAAATCGTGAAACTTGAACATCTCAAAAAGCATGGGTCGCAGATTTTGGTTATTTTCTGAAAGCTCATTGACTGTTTTGCAACAATTTCATAACTATTAGAAAAAGAATGAAATTCTGCATCAAATAATCTTTGTTCCATCAAACGTGTCGCCCGTTTGAAAAAAACGAAATTACTTTTGAAACGACCTAATATAAGGGTGTCCCATGTTTTTCGCTGTTTTTACTTTCTCCCGCAAAAACTCATAATTGCAATAAAATTTTGCAACGCCATTCGAAATAGCAAAGCAAGCTTTACTAGATAGTACCCAAACATATACTTAAAATTCGTTCTACCTAGAGTTCGAAGCCGGAATTCAAGAAGATGTGAATGCTCGAAGTCGAGAAAAAGTCGTACCTCCGTTCACAAACCTCCTCGAACTTCCTACTTGGTTAGGCATGTACGCTCAACATCAGATATTCGTCTTTCAATTTGCTTATTTCAACCATGGCCTCGAGAAACATACATACGCCCAAAATAGGCTAGAAATAGGAAAGGTTTTTTTTGGAGGTTTTTGCGCTAAATTTAATATTAATTACTTACTGTGAAAAACCCAAAAAGCAGCGTAAATATTTTTACTTTCGAAGGTTCTTACTATAGATATACCTACGAAGGAGCAACTTTGGCGAAACATGAAAATTGTTTTTTCTTAATTTTCAGCTGAGGAAAAAATAAGCAAATTAGTATACAAATACCGGATGTGCGCAGTATTTGCCTAAGCAAGTACAAAGTTTGTGCGAATCTTTTTGAACGGATACATGACTTTTTTCTCGACTATCAGGCATTTAGGTCGTGTTGAGATCGGCTGCGCACTTCATGTACAAACGCTGAGCAAACGTTTGAGTTGAGCTTGCTTTGTTCTCTCGTATGGTATCGCAAACTATTTGCGAAACAAGAAGAGTATGCGTTATTGTAGTAGAAAGTAGAAATGGTACAAAATCTTCAGACAACTTAGTATATACGTTCTATTTCTATTTTGAATACAAAAAACGCAAAACGAAATCTGTTACTGATATTGTTATTTTTGCAGCTGTTCGCATCAAAATTTTGTGAGTGTTTGAGCAATGTCAGTAGCATGTCCGCAAAGAGCACGATATAAATGTCAATTTTTACACAAATGGGACGAATCGCTACTGAACTTTGTTCAAAATAATAGTGAAATTTTGATTTTATGCACTTCTGGATGAAGAAGAAGCTACTGTAGCACGGGGCACACATGAGCTCTGCGTGCGGTGCGAACTATCTTGCTGACAACTTGTGATCCCCATGAATTGTATAACTATACACGATTCATGAGACGCAAGGACTGGGCGCCACTGCGTCCGCCGAAGATAATTCGTGCATGGGAGAGACAGCAGGTGGTCAGAGAAACGAAATAGCTCTTGATTAGTGAGACGCCGATATGTCCGCAGTCTTCGCGTGCTACGAATCGCCTATACGCTGCGGCAACACCATAAGGGTAAGCCATACCTTTTAATTCAGCTGCCTTGGAAGGCGGGGCTTCGTGACCTAGTTAAGGCTAGATAATGATCAGAGAGCACGCGTGCCAAAGAGACGCAGACTGCGTAATGGACGAATTAGGTCACAAAGCCTCGCCTTCTAGCTGCCAAGCCAATTGAATCAAAGGTTACTACGTTGGTTTTCTGGGGAAAATACGTAGTCAAAGTGGCTTTTCCACATGATATGCAAATTAACTTCAAAGGCATGCAACGCTGTTTATTATAGAACAAAAAAATCAAGCGTAAAAATCAAGCGTGCAGTTGCTACAAAACCATTGTTACTATATCTCTAGCCTAAAGCAGCATTTTGGTTACGAATAAATGAAACAAAAATAAAGCATACTTTCTGACACTAGCAGCTGTTCCATTTTAAATTAATTGTAACGATTGATTCCTTATTGCGCATTAGAGTTTCTGCTCTAATAAATGCCCACAACTCCTCGTCCAGCAGTGCTTGGCAGGTAAGGCCTGAGGCATACTTCTCGCGATTCCGCGAAGTCGCTACATTCACGAGACTTGGCTACTTGCCAGATGTCTGCAGATTAACAATGGTCTTAAATGCGTGGGCACGTAGATCCTTATTTGTAACAGACCAGCATGTCTGACCCAGGCAAAGTGTGTCTACGACCAGTCATGAAGAGTCGTTGTAGTGCCAGATCGCGCAGCGACTAAAATCGCATGAAATATGCCTTAGGCTTGAAGAAGTCAAATTTAGAATCAGTGTTGCATGCCTTCCAAGATAGTATGCATTTCGTGTGAAGTTGTTACTTTAATCTTCAATTGGGTATCCTTTCGGCAGTCCTACTTAGCGCAGGAAATCCGAAGCAGCCAAAAACTTACCTGGTTTTTCTAAAAGCGGAATTTCATAAAATGAAAAACACTGGCTACATCCAGAAGCAGCATTTGAGCGAATTTTTACCCAAAATGGACATTGCTTAAAGCCCGATAGTGTCAAATGCTTAGTCTGGCTATGCCTCAATTGGAAGAAGACAATTCTACAGTCTTGCTCTTTACCTAGGACACTGTTAACTTTCACGGAAGAGTACAATGGTATGAATTTAGGAATGTTTTTTAAACCGCAAAAACTATCAAGTGGGCAATATCTTAATAGGAGAACCTTCAACCAGTACCATCGAGCGTAATTGTCTGGACAACGCCTTTACTATAGCACAGTAGTTCAATGCCATTGCTGGGGTACCGCTTGAGGTGCTCCTAACAATGCAGCGGACTCCGCCTACTTCCAGGCCCCGCCCACTTATTACACGTAGTTTGAAGCAGACGTGGACATGAAGAACCTCGAAAAAAACTCATTTTTGCCATTTTCAAGCCCTGAAATTTTCAGATGTGACTTCAGCAAGAAGGCCCTAAAAAGGTGAAAAAGTGGGCAGCGAATTTTTGGCGGGACACTGCCTAGGGGGTTTTTTAAAACCACAAAACTACCGTAAATTTTTTTGAATCCGATTCTGCTCAGTAAAGAACTTCGTATCTTATTGCTTTGTTACAGCACAGGTTGTTCCTTGCGTGGAAGGTAAGGAATTTCTAGACACATATGGAGCGTTATACGAGCACAATGTACTGAGGAACCATTTTGCTACCCGGAACATCAAAAAAGGAGTTTATGGTAACCTTCCAGGAACGAAAAACATGTTCAAACTGGTGAGATTGAAACTTAGCTAATGCGACTAAATGGAAAAGGATACAACTTGAGCTGAAGATTGAATGCAAGACGTATACACTCGCTTCCTTAAACGCTGAGTCCAAATCTGCTATCCTTTCTTGTGGAGCAACTTTTCGAAGCAATAAATCTGTCAAACTTGAAATGACATATAATCAAAAAAGCTTTGCAGAAACAAAAGACATAAAGTTGAGCATAGACTTTGCATCGAGTATATTAGACACCTATTTTCACGAGTATAAGACGCCCTTTTTTTAAACTGGACCAGCCTAAACAAACCAAGTTCCGACCAAAGAGCCCTAGACCGTTTTGCTTATTGCATGAGGGCATTCGTACGGCATAAGTTTCGTCCTCCGAAACACATCGACGCGGTTGAGCTGCTCGCTAGAAAAGTAAATGGTGCGTCTTGTACTCATTATATCAGGGTATTTTTGTTAAGTTTTCGCTACTTTATGCCGCTCAAAACTGGACAAATTCAGAGATCAAACTGCTCAAAACTTCTTTCTGAAAGTTATTTCGCAAAAAAGGAAAGCAAATTTGGAACAAGCGTTTGAAAACGTGTTTAGTGATATACCGTCCCAAAAAATGTATCGAACGTTTGATCTTTAAAAACTTCCCTATATGGAGAGCTTTCGAGGATCTTTAGGTGCCATACGGTAAAGCTGGGTTCAACTTAGTTACAGTACAGAGCGAATCCCCAATTCGTCTTAGTTACCGTAAAGTATGGTAGAAATTTCAACTAATTTTAACTTTCTGATAGGCAAAAACTGCTTCTAAAAAATTCAAAAAAAAAACCGAAGGACATTAAACTAAGGTTCGGAGATGCTGAACGTAATTACAAAGTTTTCAGCTACCGTACTGCGCATCTTCCTAAGGCATGCGCGCTGTAACGCTAAATTTTGGACCTTTTTTTCAAAATTGACCAAATCAACGTTGCATTTACAAACGTCGTCAAAAGCCTTCTGTTGATAAATAACGAAATTTAGTCATCATTTGTGAAACTAGGAATTTGAAAGGAGATTTTCATTTAATTACAGATATTTAATAGTTGCTTCAAGGGTTCAAGGTTTCCTTCTTCAAGGTGAAACTAAACTTTGATTGACAAAGACAACCTTGATTTAATAAATTTTGAAAAGCGCATACCGTAGGAAGATAAGAAGTACGGTAGCTGAAAACTTTATAGTTAAATTCAGCATCCCCGAAAACCTTAGTTTAATGTCCTTCAGTTTTTTTTTTTGAATTTTTTAGAAGCAGTTCTTGCCTAGCAGAAGGTTAAAATTAGTCGAAATTCTTACCGTGTTCTACAGTAACTAAGACGAATCGGTGACTCGCTCTATGTAAACCTAAGCTGAACTCAGCTCTAACGTATGACTCTCAAAGATCCGCGTAAGCTCTCCATATAGGGAAGTTATTGAAGATCAAACGTTTGGTACATTTTTTGGGACACCCTGTATACTGTCTTGATCGCCAACTCAAGTTGATATTTCTCCTTATAAGACTTACTGTTGTGTTCAGAATTACGACTGTACTCTTGAAAGTCTTGCAAAAGCTGTAATCAGCACAGAATGCACTCGAAACACCAGATTCGACCTCAAACTTCTAGGATATAGCACCAACTTCTACTCGTTAGTTTGCAGCATTGCACAATCCAAACTTGATGAGTTATCACATACCTCTAGGGAAGTCTATATTGATAAAGAAGACCCAAAGGACGATATTCTCAAGCAATTTTATGAATTTGCTGTGGATGAGTGGTCTATGGCTGATAGCACTTCACCGCCTATCGGTACGGATGTGGTATACAAAGATGAGAGTGCTGAGAGCCTTGCCAATGTAAGTCCTACTTTTCATTTTTGACTGGAAGTAGGATAAATATGAATGTTCTATTATACTTCGCCAAAATATTCTGGCTGCGGGGATGTAAGGCAACTAAAATTTGAAAAAGAAACAATTTTTCAGAATAATAAAAGCTTTTGCATCTCAAACAATTTATCGGAAGTTTCGTTGAACATCTAAGGTACAAAATTTGCCATAAATTCTGCAAAAATTCCCGTGTTCTATGCTTAAATCTCTGTGATAGTAAACATCTTTTAAAACGCTGCAAGTCTTTCCTGTTTCGCGGAAGTGCCATGGGTTGTCAGCATTGCGGTCCTAGGATTTCTATTTGGGGGGGGGGGGATTGGAGGGAGAACGCGGCAAAAATTTTTTCAAATGAAGGTGCCACGCACTCCGAAAAAATTTTAGGGGTGCTTTTCATTTGTGGGTCCTCAACCCCTAAAATCTGAAAAAAAGGGGCGCGGTGTCAGGCACGCCCCCAAGAAAAATTTTTTTGTAAAACTAATTTGAATTTATAAGTTTTGAAAATTTTAATTGTTTGCAAGAGTAAACGAGTCACTTGTGCATTTTTATAACCCACATAAGTAAATTTCAAAAATTTCGGCGCTCCCTCCCCCCTCGGTCCGCCACTGGTTGTCAAAGATATTACTCTTGCGACCAAATATTATTGACACTGATTAGAAGAAAAGCCTTCCAATATGCAGTCAGGCATGAAAAAATAACTCTAATTAGCGACTAAGAATCCAAGCTTTATTTTGTTAAACATACTGTTTATCTTCCAGATGATCTACTACAAGACCTTAGCCATTGGATGTGCGCATAGATACTGCTCTAATGAAAAACACATTGCCGTGGCTTGCGTCTATGGAGCTGTGTAAGTTGCTTGTTTTACGCGTTTATGGATATCCTGCCATATGCATTGCTTTGCTTACCGTTGATGTAATACAAAATCCTGTTTAGTCTATTGTGTGGTGAAAATAGGCTATGGGATCAAATCCAACCAAATACAGAGATAACTTGTGTAGAGATACCGTGAGCGCCGCCTCCACGGACTATTGGATCATAGGGCATGTCTGTTTCTGCCATCTGCCTATCCACGACGGAGGCGTTTGACACAGTACTCCACCGCTTCCTTAGCGCATATTGCTTGAAGGGTGACGACCGGTAGCTCAAGGAATTGCGCCTATAGACGGCATTTAGCTTCCCTATAAATAGTTAAAAATTTATCATTTTTCAAGCAATTTTAGGAATATATTATGATACACAAATAAATTGGTTGAAAACCTTTACTAATTGTTCAAAAGAGTAAACCGAAGGTTACTCATTCGGAGAGGGGCTCGCGAGTTAAGAAAAGCCACAGCGCTTTCATTACAGCGTGTCCCCAAAAGTCCGTGCGCTTGTAAAAACAAAATAAAATAACATAGAGACATAGAATTTGGTGCACATATTAATCAGGCGTTAGCAAATACACTACATCATTCGAATTTCGTGCTAACATTTTTAAGTAAGGATGAACCTTCAAACTCTTGGCGATCGCCACTGCCAAGGACGCAAGTAGTCATCATCAATTTCTTCCTATGTTTTGACGCAAATATTTGCTCTCGCTCAGAAGACATGCTCTTTGATACAGCAGCTTCCTGTTACAATGCACTATAAAAATTTTTGTAAGCTTTAAGATTGAAGTTACATGAATTTGAATATAGGCATGTGTAGATCGATGTTGGAGAGTTTTGTACACAGTCGCAGAAAATGAAATCAGAAAGTCGGCTACAATTTGTTTCAAGAATTCACTGTCCGAGTTGAATCACATTCATCGTCTGAAGGACATATATAGGAGAAATCATTCAGATCCACTCTTCACATTTGAATTTGAGTTCAAGATATAACGGCAGTGGCACGCGTTCAGAGCTCCCTGATTTTTCTTCGCCTTTTTCGATTTAATAGATTTTTGAATGCAGCTACTTTAGCAAAAGTAGTGCAAGGCCTCCTCCATACAGCAGACATAAAATTGCACCACAATCTCCCAAATTTTTCCATTAGCGCAGTAGATGGTGCACCCCGAAAAAATAGATTTTTGCGTTCTGAAAGAGAAATGATTTTCTAATTCCATATTTTTCATTTGAATGTGTAGACCATTCTAGGCTCAAAAAACTGTTTTCAAAGGATAATTTCAGCATCCTGTGACATAGATTTCAAATCAAAATCACTAGTGATTTGTAAGTTATGTACAGTCCGTGCACAATCACCTAGGCTACAAGTAGGAACACCCGTAATTCGTAATTTTGGTGAATCTCATTTTTTTCTTTGGGAAAAATGCGTATGAATTATAAGTTATGGATTCCTTTCAGTGAGCGATTGTGTAAGCGATTTGCTGTGTACAGATACTTAAGTATATTTAAGAGGAACCTGGAATAAAGTGCATGGGCCTGAGGATTTTCGACTAGCTTCTCTTTCTATCATTGATGTTCTTACATGGTGTCCGAGTAAGGCGCTTGTGGAATATTTTATTCCAATTTTTAGCGTATATAGACTTAAATGTAGGTTCTGTTTTGACTTCACATATCTCACAATTCTCCATATTGTCTGATTCAACTGGTAAGGCTTGCTCCTCGATCGATTGAATGAGCGATTGTTTGCTTTGTGTTCACACTGCACTGTTCACAACGTTCTTTTTCTTGGAAGAAATGATATAAGATTATTTTGTGGATATCCACGAAGCAGGTCATTTGTGCTAGGTGGACCGTATTATATGTAATGACAGTAATTCGACAAGGTCATGGAAAGTTTTTGAGGTAAAGGAGTGTGAGAAACTTTCAGACCGGAACTTGGGCAGCCTCTTTATTTTGCCACTGTTACTGGAAAGAAAGGTTGCACTGCAAATGCAAGCTGTAGAAAGGTTGTGCCCGGCTCAGCTACAAAATGTATTCTTGGGGAAGCGGATGACCCTGAGGGAAATAACATGAATGGTCTTTGCAGTAACGAAGACGTACATTTTGTTGAACGTAAGTGCTTGCTAGACCAATCTTACCTTCAATCCCTTGCGGTTTTCTAGCTTCATCAACATCACCAACATCATCAACATCACCAACTTCACCAACTTCGCCGACGTCATCAACATCACCAACAACATCAACATCACCAACATCACCAACATCACCAACATCACCAACATCACCAACATCACCAACATCACCAACATCACCAACATCGCCAACAGCAGGAGAGAATGTAATGACGGACGAACTTCGCAATTCTTTCCTTGCAGTTCATAACTACCGTAGGTTAGTTTTGCAATTCTTGAAGAGAATTATGGAGGGAATTCTTTTGTTAAATAGAGTCTTAATTGTTTCGAGATGTTAAGCCTCCACCAAAATTGTTGCAACTTTTATTTCGGCTGACGTTTCGGCCAACTCGCCTTCGTCGGAGCCTGTAAGTGAGGAACAAATGAGATTTATCCTCCCAAACGTCTCATCAAATGCAAGGAACAGACAAAAGTTGGCTGGAAACGGAAACGATGCTGCCTAGGATTAACAGCCCCACCTGAGACTTTGCCGAGTGCGGGTCACGGACCACCACTGACGAACGGATGAATGATTAGTGAGCTAGGTTCCCGGGTTGCTGCGGTTGTGGGTCAAACCCGCATAACTCCAGGAAGGGCGCGAGTTCGTTAGTTATTGCAGTGCATTCATCTTTCCTGTTCATTTGAGGATTTTTAGACAAAATCCAACAGGCTTCTAGCGTCTTGCGCCCCGCGACCTCTGCTTCTCGCGACAGAATTGACACTGTAATATCAAATTCTGTACCATTATGCTGCAGCATCCGATGAGTGCTTAGTGGTGTAGATACTTTTGACTTGCGCGTCCCATCCATGTGCTCCTTTATCCTAGTGCACAGTGGCCTCCCCGTTTCTCCAATGTACTCGTGCCCGCACAATTTACAGGTTATGAGGTAGATAACGCCTGAGCGCATACAGTCTCCCGGCCTGCTCGTTTTGCAAATTATGCAGTCTGGTGTTACGCAGGCCGTATCGTATGCTCTGCTGCGTACCAAGCGCTGTTTCAAGTTTGAGGGTGGCAATTCTACAACTCGCAATGACTCCTGCAGACCTGCTTTGCGCACGCACGCTCTTATTGCACTACTCAAAGCGTCCGAAATGAATGAAATAGCTCACTAATCATTCATCCGTTCGTCAGTGGTGGTCCGTGACCTGCACTCGGCAAAGTCTCAGGTGGGGCTGTTAATCCTAGGCAGCATCGTTTCCGTTTCCAGCCAACTTTTGTCTGTTCCTTGCATTTGATGAGACGTTTGGGAGGATAAATCTCATTTGTTCCTCACTTACAGGCTCCGATGAAGGCGAGTTGGCCGAAACGTCAGCCGAAATACAAGCATATCGTAATGCCAAGATTCACTGAAAGTCGAACGTGGAGAGTCTTAATTATTGCATAATATGGCACTTCCTTAGAGCAAAGTCGTCGTTTTTTTTTAAAGTAGCTTAACACACAGTTTCATGTTATACTTATAGGCTAGTAGATCTGCCAGTGAACTGCACGCCCATTCAAATCCGATTTAGAGCCATCTAGAGATGAATAACAATATGGTGACATGCAATTGCTTCATGCTACGCTTTTCTTTGAAAATCCACATCTTTCCGAAAGTCTTGATAGTTTTTACCCTACTGACTACAGTCGAGTAGAATTTCGCTCAATATAGTGTGCTCGCACTGCTGGTAAAATGCAGTAAAATTTGCGTGTGAACGAATGCTTACGAAATTAATGCCGGTATCTTCGCGCGCGTGATTAGTCGGCGTCATTGGTAACGTGCAAAATTTTCCGCATTTTATTTGCGGTGCGGGCCACTTACAAGCGGAGAATCTATTAGGTTGTCCGGAAATTAATGCCCGTTTTATATTTCAACCGCAATAAGTCATATATTTCTCACTTCTAAATAGGTTGAAAGTACCATTCGATAGAGCAAATCAAGCTCTACAATATGGCTATCCTGCTTTTGCAACAACTCTCATCCACCTCGAATTTCGAGCCAAAAACTAAAAAGACTCAGCAGCCGAAAAATCGAAAAAAGTCGTAACTCAGTTCACAAAAATCCTACAAATATTTTTACTTGCTCACGTAAACACTATCCATATAAAACATCTATATACGCCTTTGTTGTATTTTTTCCTCTGTTAGAAACCAAGAAAACGGAAATTTTCGTGCATTTGCCAAAGTCGTGTTGTGCCGTCCCCACATAGGTAGTTGTATACTACAAACCTGTAAAAGTATAAACGTAAGTTCTCAGCTCTCCACAAGCTTTAGTTCTCGAGAAATTTGAATTTTAGCTTGGACCACCTAGCTAAAGAAAACCATATTCGGTATTTCTCGAGAACTAAAGCTTGTAGAGAGCTGAAAATTCAAGTCTGTACTTCTACAAGCTCATGATGTACAACTACCTATGTGGGGACGGCACAGCATCACTTTGGCAAATGCACGAAAATTTCCGTTTTCTTGATTTCTAGTAGAGGAAAAAATACGGCAAAGGCGTATATAGATGTTTTATATGGATAGTGTTTACGTGAGCAAATAAGAATTTTTGTAGGCTTTTCATAAACTGAGTTACGATTTTTTTCGATTTTCCGGGCTGCTGAGTCTTTTTAGTTTTTGGCTCGAAACTCGAGGTGGATGAGAACTGTTGCAAAAGCAGGATAGCCATATTGTAGGGCTTGCTTTGCTCTATCGAATGGTGTTTTGCAACCTACTTAGAAATGAGAAGTGTATGACTTATTGCGGCTGAAATTCAAAACGGGCATTAATTTCCGGACAACCTAATACTTGACCGTACTTATTTTCAAAGCGGTGATGGTCAATACAAACAAATACAAATAGCTGTGGAGAAATGAGTGCCCAGTTGCGGAAAGGCTAACCGAAACATTTTTGTGGTTTAAAAAAACTAAACTTGGCAAAAACTTGGTTTAACACACTTTTAGTCTCTTCTCATACGCTGTCCAGCCTCAGTCACATTTTGAAAATGGTTTGTTAAATTTGAATTTTACGCTAAGGGCACTTGTCCTGTCCATGGGCTCATTTTTACTAACTCGACCTAAGAGGCTTGTGATAACTTTCAAACCAAAGCCAATATGTTATCCTTTGTGCTTATTTAGAACCTGAAGATTCTCAAAAAATGCAATATCGTCCTCTCATTTTCTGCAGCAACTCACTGTGCACAAAAGTAAATGAACGCTACGATTGAGTCAATGCCCCACTGAAATTCATTATCGACGCTTGTTTTCTTCATTTTTTTCCTACCAACTCGGACTTCAATAAAAGCATGGAAACATGGGAGAAACGTACCCTGCAGAACAGAGATGCAATGTTATAAAGAGACTTCGAGAGAGAAAGAGAGATTAACACCAACTAGAAAAGCTTTGAATAATGCAAACGTTTGTAAATTGAAGTCAATTTAGATCCTCTCTAGCTTTGGGGAATGTTCGGAATGGAGCGGAAGGAAACACCAATTGCCCTATGGCTCAAAATATGTATCAAATGGTAAAACAGTTTGCTATAGCCTTGTTTGTCGAACTATAAAACTTTACAAGTTTACAACTTACAACTTTACTTTACAACTTTACAACTTTACAAGTTTCCCGTTTAGAAATATAATATTCATTTATTTTCTTGAATACGGACATGTTCAGGTGTACGATAAGAGTTTGGAGACAGAAGCACAAAATTATGCGAATACTTGTCCTGCCGGAGATTCGGATGTCTCGACGAGGCCCAATTCTGGTGAGAATACACACATCCTCGACTCTGGAACAATACCATATATGGACGCGTGCGTTGCGGTGAGTTACACATTACCAGCTCTTAATTCACAAATAAGGACTAGAGTTGAATCTAGGCTATGCAAGCCTGGTGGAGTGAGATTTCCGTACAGCACATAGATTTTTCGCAACCCTTCAGCCGAGTCTCAGCAATGCCAGTGGCTCCCACGAAATTTACTCAGGTATGAATCTTCTAAATTCGGACATGTCTCTCTTGTTATTTGAATTGACTTCTTTTATGATTCTTCACTTCCGGTTTCAATTTTCACGTAACATATACAACCACGTAAACAATCATAATTCGCACTGTCCAAGTGGTAGAACTTGTTCCACATTTCATGGATCTAACCGTTTTGGGACTCCACCGCGAAGAACGAAGACGAAGTGGTGTGCGTTCAACGAGTAATATTCCACCTACGAATAACCGAGCAAAGCGGGCAACTCTGAGTTTAGCACGATAATGGCTTCTTTGCACATCATTCAAATTACATGCAGTAGAATGTAAGAAAGGACGAGTAGTTTGCGGAAGCTACCTTTTGTTTGATTGACGTCTTGTTGTCCACCATGCCAGATCAAGCATTGGTTGAAGCCCTTATTGGTAGAGTGCACCTTATTGGTAATGCTGCTGAAATGGATGCAGCAGAACATGATCATAATATATCATCTTTAGCTGTTAGGTCTTTTAGGAGAAGTTATGAGCCATATTCACCAATTTCGAAAGTATAAACAATCAGCGCAAATTTCCAGCTACGTCAATAAAGTTTGCTAAACTTTATAAGCTTTATAGTGGGTATCAAACGGCAACCGAAGTAAACTGAGCGTGCTATTTGTTTGAGCCTTAAGAAAACATCGCTAATTCATATATTCCTTTCCGCTGGCGTACAGGTTTTCACCGCACATTAGGTTGTTCCATGAGTTTTTTCGACATACCGACACCAACATACTTAACTTCTTATCTTCCTTATACGAAGCGGTGTACCATTTGACTGATTGAAGCAAGCTCTCAATGATGTTTCAAAGTTCGCACGCTTGATCCTTTTTAAGTTTTAAACCAAAACAGAAAATCCGTTCCTCAGTTTAGAACAGTTCTGCGGATTTCCTATTTGTTCATGCATTTACTTCTTCCATGAGACATTTACGCATAGACTTGCTGCATTTTTTGATGGCTAGAAATTAAGCAAACTGATGCGCTAACCTTTCAAACTTTTTCTATAACGGTTCTGTGTTTTTCGCAGACGTGTATAACTCATTCACTCAAAAATACTGTTGTGTTTGTCATGGCGTGAGTAGAAAGACGATTGGAGACCGAGTCCTTTACTTGACGGCAAGGAACTAAGAATCGAACTATGCTTACTAAGGAATGTCTATATATAGTGCACACAACTATATCACATATCATAAACAATAGATCAACATATTCGTTCATTCTTCTCGAGCATTGATTTCTTGTGCGGCTGCACAACACCTCCCCTTTCAAGTGAAGCGGTGGGAGCTTTCCTGAGTTGAAACTTCATCTTCTTAGGTTGCACTTTATGTTTCTCGTCAGCGAGTACAGTGGACCTGGAGCTGTCCTGAATTGAGTAATATCATAAGAAACAGGTACCTCGGCACTTCCAAATTGACTGGATTTTGAACGGGTTTTGCCGGATATCTTGCTCTCATCCTCTTTTTCGAGCAAAGGCAGCCGTTGCTTTCGTGCCGTCTTCTGTTTTAGGTTTGAACACTTCTGCGAACTGTGTTGTCAGGTGAGTTTGCTTCTTGTCAAGTGTATCGTTCGTAGCGGTCACTACATTCAAATTGTGACAGCCGATATCACTGTGAAAGGCACGTCGCTCTGGTTCCAATGCACTTCAAGTAGAGCTGGTCCATCAAGTACATTTGTGATACCATTCAAGGCGATGCCATTTAGCGCATGCTCACATGTGCCGTGTCCATGGCATGTAATGCTGGTCCCATTAGCAGCAGTCGAATTTTGTTTCGGGTTCTTTAGCTTGTGTCGGCCAGTCTTGATCCATGTGTCGCGATATTCAGCTCCATAGTCAAGTCGTAACTCGATGCTTGTATTGCTGATTCTCACATTGCAGTACGACTTCGTTTCTTTAGGCGGTGAGATGACGACAGGATGGACGTCCTCGGCTTCATCGACAAATAGTTTACGTAGACAGTACCTCTCTAGATGTCCACGCTTCTTGCAGTAGTTGCATTCAGTGATCGGCTTCTCGCACTTCCTGGTCCTATGGGTCTTCGCTCCGCAGTTCATACAAAGATGTGTTCTGGGCTTGTGACCGATGAATGGCTTCCGTTCTCGTCTCGCTGCATCGCGTTGACTTGCGGGTTCTCATTCATCTGATTTACGCTGACCTGAGGTACCTTGGCTTTGTCGATCATCTGTATGTGATTCTGCAGTTCCAAGTAGTCTTTGTACTCTTCGTTGGATTCTTGCTTCGTCAATTCAGCCATGGGTTCTCGACAAGACTTCCACAGTTCCATGATTTGCTGCTTAGAAGGTGGATCGTGTCCGTGTCCGAGCTTGAGTTCGGGTCCTGATCGCCAGTTGTTGTGTTTGCTGGCGTGTGTGGGAAGACGATTGGAGACCGAGTCCTTTACTTGACGACAAGGAACTAAGATTCGAACTATGCTTACTAAGGAATGCCTATATATAGTGCACACAACTATATCACATATCGTAAACAACAGATCAACATATTCGTTCATTCTTCTCGAGCATTGGTTTCTTGTGCGGCTGCACAACAAATACTGTTACAAATTTGCATGCTTGTAGATACCCTGGTTCTTGAAAGCTATCAGTTTGAAGGTTTAAATTTGAAAAGACTTATGGGACAACCTAATAATTATGTATAGAAATCCGCTAGTAATCGCAAATGGTATTTCTGTTTCTTGTTTGAAGTTATAAAAAGTTGTTTATTTTGAATACTTGCGTAGGACATCTTTGGCTCGTCTTGAGCTAATCAATCGATAGCATCGTTTTGCTAGTAAAGAGGAAAGCTGACAAAAGTGCAGGTAGTACTATGGGACTTTATAGAACAGCTGTGTAGTACTATTTCCTACGACTTTCCAAAGTGACAGTCTCTCTAACCGCCAATGGCGTTTTGCAAATCGATCAATGAATCTTTGAGCGGATGTTATTTTACCGTAAGAAACGAGAGCTCGCTTAGGCCTAAGGCATACCTTACGCGATTCCAGTCGCTGCGCGATTTGGTGCCGGAACGACTGCTCATAAGTGGTCATCACAGCGTTTTTTCAAGGCAGGACTTGGTCGGTTTGCAACATGTTGCAGAAGCTACGCATCCATGTGTTGAAGAACTGTGCACGATAAATTTGGAGATATCTGGCAAACTGCCAGATCGCGTGAACGTTGCGATTTAGCCGAATCGCGCGAGGTATGCCTTAGGCCTTAGGCGATAGCACCCAACCCAACATCAAAATCTCAGGCCCGAAGCCTCGCGGTGGAGGAGAGGGATGTGAAAGTGAATGCGTCATATCTCGCTACTCTAGATATCTTCCTTCTTCTTACTCTATCGGTTGTGAAGGCTTTCTTGCCCTGATACCTGCGCATTTACTGCCATACAAGACTAGATTTTTGTTATTTTGTGTGATCCCGTGCAGATCCCAAGGGGATCATCTCATTTTCAAAGGCATATCTTTTTGGATGTAGTACGGTACTGCTAATGCTAAGCATATTTTCGACAAGAGAAATACAACCAGTTTTGATGTCTATAATCCTTAGCTTGCAAGCAGAAGGATAATCCTTGCTTCATCGAAGCTTTTGAAAACCTGAGATTCACTTATTTACTATAAACATGGTTAGCAGTGCCATATTATATCCTCAGTACAATTCTACAACGTTTTGGTTGAGTTTGGAAGATAAATGATAGATATGAGAGGTGATCCCTCTGCGGATCCCCAGCTAATCACACAAAATAGTGTTTCTGATCTTGTGTAACAACACCTTGGCAGCCATTATGCGCAGGTATCAAGGCATAAGAACTTTCATAACCCAGACAGAGAAAGAGAGGAAAGATATCCAGAATAGCGAGATATAACGCTGCCCCTCTCAGATCCCCTTCTCTTTGGGATGTACGCGCATACGGGCCCTAGACTTCAGCTGAACCGGTAGCAGAGCTTTCTCATTCTGCATTAATTCCTGCCCCATTGGATAATGTATTAGATCGAACTGCACTTCATATTATGCCTTATTTTAGTCCAGTCATTACGAAAATGGAAGAGATTATCGTAGGTCAATTGAAGCGCCTAATAGCCGCCTAATAAATTCGATAAACATAAATTTCTCGAAGGTCCAAGCTCATCGGTAAACCGGTAGCAGAGCTTTGCGCTAACGTCACTTATTATGAAAATGAAGCACTTATCCTTTAATTAACTCGAACGCAATGAGGTTTTTTATTTTATGAGTCAATTACGTAAATGCAGCTCAACGAAAGCTAGCTGACTTAGTGAATCGGCTTCAAAATTTTTTTTTCTCCATTCAAATACCCCTGTCATTTTCAATGGAAAGTGAGCTTTTGCTGCAATATCGCCCATTTTTAGTTCATTAATGTTTTGGCATAAACTGATGCATGGTTGCATTAATCAAAATTTTCCAGATGGCATGGGCTGCTACTTACAAAGTCGGCTGCGGTATGAGCCGTTGCAACTCCAACACCCAGACTGTCGTGGTTTGCCGCTACAGTCCACGGTAAAAAAGGCACTTTTCAGTAGCAAAACTTTTACTTTACAAAAACAATTCAGTGGGAATATTGACTCGCAGTACATCTACAAGGATTGCGGTGATGTCGGTGATAGCAGATGTGCATGTGCAAGTTGTTGGGGTCAATGCAGCGAAGGACTTTGCAATGCGCCCTCGAGTTGAAAAATGCAATACATGACACTCTGTGGTGTTGTAGCTAATTCAACAATTTGGCTAACATCTATAATTTAAAACATGACTGAAGTGAATGTATCTTGTCATTGCCATTGAAGTACAATTTACTGTCGCATATGGCTGTAGATTTGTGTTACCTCTACATGCTCATGCTTCTCATCTATTAGCACCTTTGCGCGAACTGCAATGAAGCGCACGCGTCGTTTTTTTAAATATTAGGTTGGCCCGAAAGTTCTTCCGCACCATTTTCAAAAATTCGTAACTTTTGATTTTCTAATCGATTTGGCTGCTTTTATTTTTATATGAAAGAGTAATCCATGCTCTTTATAATGACGCCTTAGCTGCTTACTAATGGACATCCGTTGCATAGATAGGAGCGGTAGAAAAAATTGGTCGAAATTTGAAATTTCTGTGCAGAGCCATAAAAAATCGGAAACTTGCCACAAATCGGAGCAGTCGGTATTGTAGGTTCTTCACAAACTCTTTCTCACAATGGAAAGTTTGCGCTGATTGAACGTCTCTATGAAAAGTTATGATTTCCCTGAAAAATGCCAAAATAAATCAAATTCGCCTTTTTGTATTGCTTACTCGAAAATCATAATTTTTCATAGAGACGTTCAATCGGCGCAAACTTTGCACTGTTAGAAAGAGCTTGTGAAAGAACCTACAACACCGACTCCTCGGTTTTTGTTGCAAGTTTCCGATTTTTTACGACCCTACACAGAAAATTCGAATTTTGACTGATTTTTTTCTACCGCTCCTATTTGGGCAACGGATGACCATTAGTAAGCAGCTAAGGTGTCATTATAAAGAGCATGGATTAGTCTTTCATATAAAAATAAAAGCAGCCAAATCGATTAGAAAATCAAAAGTTACGAATTTTTGAAAATGGTGCGAAAGAACTTTCGGGCCAACCTAATAACAATCTTTGTCTATGTCTATGTTATTACAATGCCAGGAAGAGCTATGAAAACACAAGGCACGAGCGTTCAAACATCAATAGAACATCTAATTACTAACCGAATAGATCCGTTCACTCGCTTTCAACCGGTTTCCCACATCTGATACGTGAAAACTACCGTATCCTTTATTCAATGAGTGTGAGTTTGGGAAAATGCCCTCAGACACGAGACACGTTTGCAATTGCTTTGAATGACCCAAGAAAGGGGACTCGCGAGAACCGGAGCCGCGCCGACCGTGACACTCATGGAGTCCCCTTAATGGGGCACTCAGCTTGAAGAAACACTTCAAATCTATTGGAAAGATGGCGGTTGGAAGTCGCATATCTACAATCAATTGCTCTGTTCGGATTATGCTTAGGCTCTAGACTTGGAGCAACCATTTCAATTAGTTGTTAAGTATCTATGCGAATTTTCAACTTCAGTTTTTCCTCTTCCTGAAAAAGCTTGGCATTTTGCTGCCAACATATATTGACGAAGAGAATTTTTGCTGGAAGCAATTGACAGCAATTTGCTAATCGCCAATAAGAAGGTGCTCACAAGGGATGCTCGTTCAGCATAGGTAGCTTGAAATGAAAGTACACCATTAACTGCATGCGCTTCCAAATCTGCCTTTTTTTCTGCCTGCGTTCTTGCGAAAGTAATTATGAACATTCCTTGCCACCAAAAATTTGCATTGTCTTGATAATGGAATCACCAATGATGTAATGGTCATTCAAGCACTATAAAAGAGCGTTCAAATAATGTGAACCTCCACGTCAAGCTCAGGAAAACTGTCTCCGATTATCCGAGTCCAGAAAGACTGGGTACTGGCGACTCTGCTACCTAGATTCCGTAAATTCTATAGAAAAAAAATCCATAACTTCGTTTAGAGAGTCACGCAGCACCCGATAGACATACAGCGACCTCCAAAAAGTTGCGGACAAGCTTCCCTCCCTTTTCATCGCTCTTTTTCAGAGGGAAAACAAGGATGAAAAAATGTAATGATTGCATGAAGTGATAGAGCTCTTCAAGATCTACAATCCACACTTTGAGATTTTCGAAAAACATGTGTTCTAAAGATTTTAAGAATCTTTTTCTAAAAAAAGTCCGAAAATGACCGCGTCACAATGCCGCGGACAATAATTTTTCGAACGCAAAAATTTTCTTTTGAGTCCTATTTTGAAGCAGAAACACAAGTTATCCGGACGGGTAAGCATACTAGTATACAGAGCTTGTCAAGGACTACACACTGGTTATGGTTGCTTCCCCAAAGAACGCAAGCTTGAGTTTATTTTAGTTTTTTCAAAAAACAACTTCTAACCTTTATCAAGCCGGATTTCTTCGCAAGGAAACCTGTTCAAGCCGTTGGGATAAAATAGATGCCTTTGCCATCCTCTATGCATCGGACGTGTGCTGATGAGTTTCTTGGCTGATGGCCCTTGGCAGTGCTTGCACATGACCCCACCTGCACCTCATTCGTAGTCTAAGCACTCTTCAGCTAAAGTTGAAAAGAGCTCCTTTCGCTACCATTTTCAACCTGGAAGTTCAAAACTGTCAATGCTCTTGCAATAGATCCGTTTCGAAGCTCTAAGGCTGTTCTGTGTTCATAAGAGCTTTCACTCCAATCACCTCTGAGGCTGCCCTCCACCACCCCATCCGCCAAATCTCTGTTATTCCTGAAACTGAACTCATTTGCAAACCATCATGTAGAGGAAGTCTCGTTCTTTCTAATGAGCCTAATTGCAGGCTCAAATATTGACTGCAGGCCGAGTTACAAGCCTGGAAAGCGGTACAAGTCAATGGTGAGGTGCAGGTGGGGTGATGTGCAAGCACTGTCAAGGGCCATTTTCAGCCAAGAAACTCATTAGCACACGTCCGATGCATAGAGGATGGCAAAGAGCATCTATTTTATCCAAACGGCTTTGTTGGGATGTCTTGAACAGGTTTCCTTGTGAAGAAATTTGGCTTGATAAAGGAAATTAGAAGTTGTTTTTTGAAAAAACTAAAATAAAACTCAAGCTTGCGTTCTTTGGGGAAGCAACCATAACCAGCGTGTAGTCCTTGACAAGCTCTGTATAGTAGTATGCTTACCCGTCCGGATAACTTGTGTTTCCGCTTCAAAATAGGACTCAAAAGAAAATTTTTGCGTTCGAAAAATTATTGTCCGCGACATTGTGACGCGGTCATTTTCGGACTTTTTTTAGAAAAAGATTCTTCTTTAGAACACATGTTTTTCGAAAATCTCAAAGTGTGGATTATAGATCTTGAAGAGCTCTATCACTTCATGCAATCATTACATTTTTTCATCCTTGTTTTCCCTCTGAAAAAGAGCGATGAAAAAGGGAGGGAGGCTTGTCCGCAACTTTTTGGAGGTCACTGTAAATTTGGAGTCAGCGTTTCAAGCGCATCTAAACCTCACTGCAAAAGACCACGGTCACCAAGTATCTTTCCTTTGTCACTGCTCCCATTCCCCTAGCCTCCGCGTGGCTTGTCCTGCTATGCGTGTTCAGCTTTTCTTACGCTCAAGAAATTAGACCCTCAAGCACACATAGCTCGCTGTACGCAGAAGCTTCACGACTGAAAAAAAAACACAAAATAAGATGTTCAAATACCGTTTAAAGGCACCGTCCACCCAGATTTTTCCATGTTTTTGTCCTTTCAGGACCTTTTCATGTTCCTGATTCCGAATATGATATCGAGAATGCTCGAAAACCCCGACAATCCCCGTTCCGAAGAACCCACAGGCCGGCTTTCCAAAACGGTGATTGGATGAGCGCGCACAAATGGGCGGGCATGGGTGAGGATCCTCGTGCATCTTCGCTATTCCAAAGCGACTTTCTCGCTTCCAAAGCGGCATTTTGCGCCGCGACTTGGGCATTGGATTGATAGGAGGCCTTATATACGCTGCCAAAAGCTCAACACCCTCAACTTAGGGTGGACGGTGCCTTTAGGCAACTAAGTGCTATCAGCTGCAGAATGAGACCACAATCCAACATTGCAGACTGATTTCATCAAGACTTGAGATAGGTCTCGGCACGATTCGTTCCCGGGGTTTGTATAAACAAAGGTTTCCTCACTTTCTGAAATTTCATGAGCCTTTCACCCTTGACGGAAGTCTATTGAATTAAAGGAAGAGTAACCGAAAAAGAGCCACTAGTTTGAAGAGGAAACGTAAGATAAGAGAGGAAATTCAAAGCGGAGCTGAATACTAGGCATGAAAAAAACCTGGCATTGAAGCGCTATATCTGACATACATTTGTACAGAAATCGATGCAAAAACCAAGGAAAGGCAACGACGTGGAAATGTCTTTATGCTCAGGGACAGATTCTTGATTGGAGAATTCATCCATGATAGAATAAAACTTATATGAACATACCAATGTGTGCCCTATTCAATCTCAGATCGCATGATGGCTGTCTGGAAATGGACTTATCTTGGAGAAGGTATTACTTCACATAATCAGGGCATTACCCACAATTCTTCCGTAATATCACTCTATGCCCACAGACCAAATCTGATGTCATATATTTGTCTAAACTTTGTAAACAAGCGTTTAATTTTGCTTTGCTTCGCGCGCGCTCTTCGCAAGACACAATGGAGCACGTCTATCTTTTAACTCTTGACGACGATGTGGACCACCGGTGACCCACGTACTTTTTGCTGCAAGGGACGATGTGGACCTCCGGTGGCCCATACCTCTTGTAAAGTCATATTATTTGTAGGCCTAGTATTTTTTATGCATAGTAATATTTTTTCCAATTTTTTGCAGGCTCCGTTGCTCAAGGAAATATTTACAGTTGTTTACACAACCATCTTGCATTTCGTAGGTAACCACAAAACTTCCCCACACCGGAAGTGTTGTGCAAAATCGCGTCGTCCTGCAGCCACACAAAATTAGGCGTTGTGTAAATGGGCTAATAGCTTGTCATTGAAGCTTCTCACTACAAGAAGTGCGTTCAGTTGTCTTGCACACTGTACGTGCAATTTTCTTCCACATCGCGAGTACAAAATTGTGTATACTGCATGTACACAATTTTTTCGGGTCTCCTCTCGAAGCCCGCCAAAACCATATTCCCTTTGCTTTGTATTCCAGAAACGAAGTATAGCCTGTTTTCGATTAATCTGTGCCGGGCTTTGACTTGAAGTAATGGAATTTTGCAGTTTAGAAAATTTTACAGAGAGGTGTCTCTAATTCGGCTCAAATACCATCTCTTCAAGTCAATATAGGCAGTCTTAACATTTTCTGCAACACTATATAACGAATGATAGACTTTGCTGCAAAACAGCTGTGTATGAGGCAATGAAACTATAAAGATAAATGCTTTGCGAGATAAAAACGGTTTATTGCTTGCTCCTATTTGAGTTGAGATAAGACATGGTGGTCTTAGCATTTCTTGCACCAACAAAAAGGCATGATCACAGATAAAGTTTTCTCCTGCTGTCACCCATTTTTTCGCTTTACGCCAAGACTTCAAAGTTGATAAGCATTGGGCGAAGTGCAGAAACGAAGTGTCTTCAGTGATACTATAATTTGCGAAAAAACGTTGTGTCCTGCAACGAGAGAGGCGATCTAGAATTTGTTTTCTCAAAGGCATATTTGGGGAGTAAATACTGCTATTACGAAGCATTTTGAAAACAGTACAAATGAGCTGAATAAGTGAACAGCTATGAAAACTTCTTATCTGTGAATAAAAATTTGGGAATGAGGTATGCTCTATTCATTTTCATTCAGTTAGTTCATGGTTGCATAAAAAGAGAAAAATTATTCACTTATACGGCGAACGCTAACTGGCAATAAATCATCATGTAGTTTCAGCTTAGCTTTTCAGGCTAGATTAATAGGAATGTGAAGATTTAACGAGCTTGTATGGATGACTGCTACTGTCATCTACGAAGAAGAAATTGAAAAACCATCAGTAGCTATGGCTAATTTCACGCTGACGCATAGAGAAATGAGTGCTGTGAAGTACCAACAAGCTAGGAAATAAATTCTGTTTCGCTTTTGTTTGTTTAAAAGCGGCCCACACTAGATGCGGTCCAGCGCAGATATCCTCTTCCTAGGGCTTACTTATGGACCTTGTGCTAATCGGGTGCATGCATTTTGCCTGGACGCTGCTCTCAAAGCGATTTTAGAAGCTGAATATGAATGAAATTGTGCAGAGTATCTAGAAAACATGGCACGTGATGGGTAACAAGTGGAACAATTCTTGACAGTTCTGACCTGACCGCAGTGATGGCAATTATCAGCTTTCTCATGATGTTTCATACGTTTACAAATTCTTATGAGCTGAGTCTTGAGCTATGAGCTGTGTATATACATCACGTGTTCAATCGCTCACCTATGCCAATAAGCTGAAAATTTCGCTACACTTGATTGAAGATTCCACTGACAATGAGAACAGTCTGAAAGATTACTGACAAGGACTTCAGAAGAATTTCTTCATGAGGGATTTTTGTCCTCATGTTCTCATGTACCGTCCTCCCATCAACATTCGTGGCCTGCAAGCCATCATCACGGCGAAGAACGTGTTCATGAAAGCGTGTTCAAAATTAACTCAAAGACTCTCATAGTCACTCTAGGTGATCGCAGGCAGTGGGTGTTTATCGGATGACATTTTGTCCGAATGTTAGTGAACCACGGCACTGTGTACAATTTTTGAATTGATTCTCGCTCCTTCTGCCAAAATCAATAACTTCTTGCGGATTGAGATTTCGACGTCCTCACTTTCAGGAAGTCAGAAATACGGCTCATCCACCCAAAACCTTTGAATCATGAAAGCACAATCAACATTGTGAGCTACTCTTGCGTTTTGAAAAAGTTAGTGTGGCGAATGGAAAAATCTACAGTCACGCGCATCTGACAAAGTGATGGAAAAGCCGATAAAGCTAAGAGTACCTTGAAAAGTTTTTTTTGGTAAGCGCTAGGGGAACATATTTGACCATCTTCTTCTGAACTACGAAAATGGGGGCTGCCCGTGTGTGATAGGCAAAGGTCACTTATGTGAATGATGTTTGAGTTGCAGCCCCCTTATTGATTGAAACAAAAAATCTAAGTTTGTGGATAAAAATCAAGCTGTACTGTTAATTTCCGTCCAACTCAAAGGCATTATCCAGGTCGACTGGAGGGGAGAGGGGGGGGGGGGGAGATTTTGACCCCGGCTCTCTTCTGATGCAACAGTTCAAGTCTGAGTCTGCTCGAAAAACGAGGACTCTGAAGCGAGAAAAATCGCTTCGGCAAAAAAGGGCGGTACGCTAATCCTGCCTCCTTGACAAGTTCTGACGTGACGAATGCTGTAGATCTATGTATAAACACGTCAAAACTTGTCAAGGAGTCGGGGTTAGCCTACCGCATTTTTAGAGTTTGCATCGTTGAACATGCAGCATTTTGTAATTTTGTTCATGATGCCACAGATTTCTTCAATAAAGCGTTCCGCAAGATCCGAGCAAACTCTAAATCAGCATTCATCACTGACTTCAGCAGCATATTTTTCATCTCAAATCGCCGCTTTTACTAAACGGCATCCTCGGGAGAATTTATTTGTTTCAAAGTTCGGAGCGATTTCAAAAGATAACATTGGTGAGCGCAGAAAAACTGAATTATAACTTTGCAAGATTCGATTGGCCTTAACAGAAACGATACTTGGTGACCCCGGCCATTCATAATGGTTTGCATATCAAAAAAATGCGCCTTTCAATGCTGGTTCGAATACTGTTTTCCATACATGCGAAAAAGAAAACCTGGATGGAGTTATGATTATTTTTTCAAAAGTGAATTGCGCCACTGCGGAGGGTGAAAATCATTAATAAAAACTTTTCTTTCCTCTTCAAATGCTGAACATGGTTTAAATAGGTATAATTACAACGTTACACCTTTCAAGATTTTCCTCAATAGCTTCAAACGGTAAAATAGATCAAATCGGGTGATTTTAACTACCTGAAAGTACGCAAGTTTTTTATACACAAAAAGTTCTTAACTGCCTTTTGATCATTTTGCAGATTTCAAACACAGATCCAGAATCAGCGTTTTAAGGCGCACCTTATGGTATACATCGCATTCCACATGGCTGTGGTCACCAAGTATCATTACTTTGTTAGAGGTAAATTCCATTTTAATTGACCAAAAACCTCTCGACATTTCCATGAAATAATAAATGTGTCCAAAAATTACTGTAATAGTTTTTATTGAGCTCTCTATACGTGATGCCCATGTCGAAAACAATTTTATAGACTCAATATAAAGCCTACTTGTGATGTTACACTACTGCCATTCCTTCGGAGTTGCAAAAATATCGACACCTTATACCTTTATCGCAATGCTATTCCCGCTGGTAAGCTAAGCGTTTTTCATATTAGAAAGAAATTGTCATAACCGTTCTAGATCGTTTTGCTACAACTGTGTACAACAATACGTGGTGAGTTCATTCAATTCGAGAAAATCAGGGTCCGGAAGCAAAGCTGTGGGTTACAAACTTACACCCGTACTTGTAAAGTCTTAAATTACAATGAGATAATTTCGATGGTTACTAACCCTCATTATTGAGTTCGTTGATTTAGACGCTCTAACCTTCATTCGTTGATTGTAGCGCACTTCATGTGCACAAAATAAAATAAAATAAAATAAAATAAAATAAAATAAAATAAAATAGGGTAGTGGAACTGTTCGAACTTCTATAATATTTCTAATTGTACCAAAGAGCCGTAAGAGCTGGTTTTAGCTACGATTTAGCGAAACTTATTGGATGTGCAAGTCAAAGATCGGTGATTAAGGAATTATAAGGGTTTACAACTTGTTACATCACGCCCGATGCATTTTGTTAGAATGTCTTCTGAGTTTGAAAGATTGCATTAGATACCTTGCGAAGGGTACATCATAAGGCCACGTCACAATATATTGCAGTGCATTGAAATCTGAACAATTTGAGAAAAGAAAAAAACCTCGTAAGAGCCTTCGAACCAAACCCCAAAAGTCTTACGAGGCGGCTTGGACTCTTCAATTTCTTAAAATTTCGACTATAAAAAGTAACTTTGGCACAGTCGGTCCCATTTTCAAACAACTCACATGCTTTACCAAACCAATTCCACTTTGAGGGCATAGTAATTGCCCCGTTCAAGGGGTGACATTCAAACGTGGTAGATTTCGTGGTAACATTTTCAAAGCTGCTGCATGTTCTCAAGCCCATCATCTTTCGGCAATAATAGGCTAATGTAACCTTTCTATTGGTGAGGTCCTGAACATGCACAATGTTTTGCTTCGTTTTTCGCTTTTTTTCAACCCTGATTTGCTTCAAAGGCACTGCTTTTTTGCCACCTCTCAGATAACCGCCGGGGGCAGGCGGCCATGCGAATTTTGAGCAAGCGCGCACCGGAAAAATGGTTCGTTGATTTTTTGCGGCCCGCTTGCAGAAATTCGGAAGAAAGATGGCAAAATTGAAGACGAATGCTTGAAGAACAATCGCGGTTTCTTTATGGATTAGCTGGCGCAGTGGTCGCATTCTCGCGGACTTTCCGCGAGAATATGCAAAAATTTCGAGGGCCGCACGGTCCTTTGTGGAGGACCGCGCAACCCCCAGGTACTTTCCGCTGAGAAAGTACCTCAAACTTGAGTAATTAAACCAACGGTGACAGGTGACACCTCTGCCACACAGAGTCTTACCTGCGCTCGACGTACGCCCGAAAATGCCATAAAAGAGTCCGAGCGCTTGCTGAAAGTTTGGCCAGCGCTCGCTCGAAGATATTATTTGACGAGCGCTCGCAGAAAATTCTGTATTGCTGCCCGCTGGCAGAACGCGGAAGTACCGCCCGCTGAAGGTTCGGCCACGCCCCAAAATTCTGCTGACCGCCTGCAGAAAAGCGCGAGTTTGCGGACCGCCTGCCCCCGGCGATTATCTGAGCTTGTGTTAACTCTGTTTGTTTGAATTCAGTCGTAACACCGCAAGATTATCTTTGCCAGAGAGATGAGGACTCAAAAGATACATACAAGTGTGAACTATAACTCAGACGGTCGATGGAGTACCTCCGGAAGGCAAAATAGGGGGGAGGGGGCGGGGTTCGGCGAGGCTCGATACTCGCTCTCCCATTTAGTGCTCCTGATGTCCCCGAGCGGCATACTGTAACTAGCCCTAATTGAGCTCCAAACCCCAATTATGCCCCTAAACCCCAACCAAATTAGCTCTAGACCACGGTTGAGCAAACGGTGTGGCACACGACCAAGAATGAAGACAAGACAAGACATTTATTTCAAATTAATTGCAAAACACTTTTCTGCAAAATGCAAATGCACCTCACTAATATCCAAAGTGCTCATCCATCACTGAGTGAAAATAGCATAGCCAGGGTCAAGCAAGGGGTGTGTCACACGATCGCTGCTTACGACCCCCCCCCCCCCTGAATTATATACCTAAGATAGCATTACCTGAAGGCCCTGTCACACACAATCTGGACCGATTTGAACCCAAACTTGGCACACATGTACTTCGGGGCAGGGAGCGTGTCATAGGCTACTTTTCCTTATCGATCGATATCGATTTTATCGATTTTTATCGATTTTTTGTAGAGTTTGCCTACGGGGCTGGGAGTTGACAGGGGGCTAAGTGGGCATGGGGGTTCCGAATACACCATTTTTGAAATTATCCATTACTTTTATCGATTTCATCGATTTTTTGCAAAGTTTGAGCTACAGGGCTGGGAGTTGCCACAGGGGTGTAATCGAGCATGCCGATTACGAATGCAATATTAGTCTTTGGAATACCTATTATTTTTGTCGATTTTATCGATTTTTTTAGAGTGAGCTGAAGGGCTGGGAGTTGGCACATGATGGTAAGTGGGCATGGTGATTTCGAAAACAACACAGGGAACGGGAAATGAAGTGTAGAAGTGGGCACAGGGAAAGGCTGTCGGGGATAGGGATGGGACCTTTATTACAGTGTTTTGACAGGGCCGAGCGGAGCCGGGTAAGCAAGCTAGTCTGTTGTAATTGGTCTACCAGTCAATCTTGGTCCAATCAGTTTAGTCGCAAATACAACATCGGCGCAGACAAACACGATCTGTTCGATTATCAATATGTAGTAAAAATGATGTTCTTGTCGCTGATTAGAAACCACTTTCTGTTTCTTTGAGATAATAAATATGTCTAGAGCAACTTACTGTACCATTCTTCATATGACTTGGGCGACTTTAACTGCTTCTGAAAAAATTTTACCATTTCAATGAAATGCATACTTTTGATAACATTGCACGCTTGTTGTTGCTTGCCGCTCGTATTGAGACATGGGACTGCCACCAGGGTCGGTAGTAAACCTGTCGAAACGCGCAGCTCAAAGTTGAAGTTAACTCAGAGTTAACTCCGAGTTGACACGCACCCTTCAGGAACCATTAACACCTGCATAAACAAATCAAATGGGTAAAAGAGTGATATGCCAAGGTACCCTGCAAGACGTTTATCCCAAGTATGGAAAGTAGCGCAGCTCGATCAACACAAAAAGCTACGCGACAAAACGCGCAGCTTAGCTGCGCGTTAACCCTGGTTTGATGCGCGTTTCAGGTGCCCGCGAAATTTGGTTAGAGAAAGAGAGTGTGCAGATGAAGAATTGCAGCAAAAGTGCTCCGGTAGACAATACTCCTAGTTTCAGCAAGCATGAGATACGTGGTGCACGCTAAAGCAAATAATTTTGATTTTTTGTGAAATTTTGGCCCTGGGGGTTATCCAAGGCGCTGATCACTAATACAATGTTCATTTTTTGGCATTCGGCCGCATAGCGAGGTTACGGTGGCTTTACGGTAGTTGAGCGAAAATCATGAAATTGAGTGAAACTTGGTATAGTCGAATCATTTTATCTGGTCATGTGCGCGTTGCACATACCATATATCTTTGGCGTTCCCATCTTGAACCTGCGATCCCAAAAAGCAAGAGACTGACCTATTGTTATCGCTTCCGTCAATTTCAGGACCTTGGTGCCTAAAACAGAAAAAAAACATGAATAAACATTGACAACATTTACCTAAAGGCGTGTTTGCTCGAAATTCCAGGATGGAGACGCCAAAGGTGGGCAGTGTGTGCAGTGACACACATGATCATATGAAATGATTCGACTGTACAATGGGATTATTTGACCCGCTGATCACGAATATGTTATTTATTATTCGCTGCAGAACCATAGAGTGGGATTACGAGAGGCTCACTGTAGACAGGAAAGAATTGCATGGTCTGAGGGGTTGTCAGGATGGTTGATTGCGAGTACGATATTCATTTTTCACCACGAGCAGGATGAGTGGGGTTACGGTAGGAATATGGTAGTCAAGTCAAAGTCACATGATAGATTCAAAATTCGCTAAGTGGAGTTATGTGCTGACCACGACCGTATTGCCTACATTGCAGCTTGTAAAGCGCAGCTACGGTAGAGATACGGTAGAATCAAAATTTTAAATTAATTTTTTGTCTTGTAAACAGAATAACCGTAAAAAATTATTTGAAAATTGTTATATTATTCAGTGTTCATATGAAATTCATATAACATTCGTTTTCTAAATGATCTCTAGATTTTGATTATTATTTGGAAATCGATTTTCCAAAAATTCTGAACAAATATTTTAGAATAACAAGTTTTAGATAGATTATTCGAAATAAATTTTAGTAACCTTGTCTACCATTATGATGACATATCAAATTAAGGAGAGAGGGGAGGGACGGGTTGTTGGATTATAGTCTATGTCCATGTTTCATCTGTTACTATTTTGAGAATCTATAGGATATTTTATGGCTAGGCATCTCAAAAGCAAGCCTAACGCCTCTCAACTGTCTTGAATCTGGATTGCGGGATTCATTAATTCATAGCGGCAGCTTCAAAAAAAAGCGGCTCCTTGGCCTAGTGGTCTAGCGTTTGGCTCCGTGTACCGAGCAACTGAAGTTCAAGCCAGGCTGTGTCGGAGTGTTTTGCCTTAGTGTGTGTGGCGTCTCCTCAACATCTGTACCGTCTTCTCAAGTAGCAGAACGAAACTCCGAATCTGAGAAACGAAACTCGGGGTTAACTCGGAGTTTCAAAACAAAACTCAAAGTTAATTCTGAGTTAACGCGCAGCTTTAAACTCGACCAGATTACTACCGGCCCAAATTTTGCCAACATGCTCCTTCTTCCATTGGTGATCTTTTTTTTCATTCCCTCTATGAAACAAATCATAGCCATTTTCGATTACTATGCTTTTGCCCTGTTTTGCGCTTTGTCAGCCTTTTCAAATTTTCTCCAACGCAATCTATAGAATTAAATTTCTCGAAATTCACTAAAACAAGTTCAAAATTCATACACAATTGTGCCTTATTAGTCCTTACGGCTGAAATTAAATGAAGTATGTTTATTATGTGTTTTTAAATAAGCACAGTGATATTTGGCGAAGGACACATGTACTCAAAAATTTGTCCGAAATTTTGAAAACAAGGAATAAACAGCAAGAGCAGCAACAACAGCAATATCATTTAGATTGGGCCTTTGATATGGACCAGAGCGTCACGTCTGCTTTGCAGAGGCTGATTGATTGATTTTCTTTTTCTGAATCAACTATCGAATAGACAATACCTTATACAATTCTTCAATCAATTTCACTAAGCGTAGGCAGTGATTTGAATTTTTCGTACTGTCTCTAATATGTGCCAATTGACGTGCTCCTTATCGAAGCAGAAGAGTCTGCTAGAATTATTCAATTATAAACCCTAAAGGCTCACCAGAAAAATTAGAACGAACCCTTCTCCTGTAATCTTCTATCAACCGAAAGTAATATTGATCTTATTTTCTTCTTACAGCCCAGGTATATCCTTGCGTGGAAGGTGATGATTTCAAAGACACATACGGAGCGTTATACGAGCAAAACTTACTTAGGAAACATTTTGCTACCCGAGACGTGAAAAAAGCGGCCTACGGTAGTCTTCCAGGAACAAAAAATATGTTTAAACTGGTGAGATTGATTCTTGATTCCAATGCGACCAAGACTCAATATTGTATTCAGAATTACGACTGTACTCTCGAAAATTTTGCAAAGGCTACAATCAGTGTAGATTGCACCCAGAACACCAGATTCGACTCAAAGCTTTTAGGATTTGGCACCAACTTCTACTCGTTAGTTTGTAGTACTGCACAATAAAAGTTAATGAGTTGCCACATGCCTCTAGGGAGGTTTATATCGGTACAGCGCCAAACGACACTATTATCAAGCGATATTATGAATTTGCTGTGGATGAGTGGTCGATGGCTGATAGCACTTCACCGCCTTTCGGTACAGACATGATATATAAAAATGAGAGTGCTGCGAGCCTTGCCAATGTAAGTTCTACTTTACATTCTCGCCTATAAGTAAAATAAATCTCCATGCAATCCAACAAGAAATCCTAACCATATGAATGAGGATGATGCTAGACCGATATTTTTGAAAATATTGAGAGTGCTACTTCTAATCATAAAAAAATTACCCGCATTTTGTACCGCCTTTGCGACGAAATGATGTGCCTAATTTTACATAAAAAACGGACCCTTTTCATTATTTCAAGCAAGCAGCTCGGCTGCACCACCGTGCTCAACGAAATGATAGCTCTCCTACACAATATTTATTAGGTAAAGAGCAGCACGGGTTTTTGCGATATTTTTTGGTGTGTTTAAGCTGGTTGAGTTGAAGTATAATTAGGGTACTGATAAATTATTAGGTCGTCCCGGATTTTCTTTCGCACCATTTTCAAAAATTCGTAACTTCTGATTCTTCCAACCGAATTGACTGCGTCTATTTTTGTATGAAAGAGTAATTCATGCTCATTACAAAGAGATCTTAGCTTCTTGCTGATGATCATCTGTTTCATTGGTAGCAGCGGTAGAAGAAAATTAGTCAAAATTCGAATTTTCTGTGTAGGGTCATAAAAAATCGGAAACCTGCAGCAAAAATCGGAGCAGTCGGTATTGTAGGTTCTTTCACCAGCTCTTTCTGAAAGTGCAAAATTTGCGCTGATTGAGCGTCTCTATGAAAAGTTACGACTTTCGAGCAAGCAATACAAAAGGCGAATTTGATTTATTTTGGCATTTTTCAGGGAAATCGTAACTTTTCATAGAGACGCTCGATCGGCGCAAGCTTTGCACTGTTAGAAAGAGCTGGAGAAAGAACCTACAATACCAACTGCTCCGATTTTTGCAAGTTTCCAATTCATGACCCTACACAGGAAATTCGAATTTTGACTAATTTTCTTCTACCGATCCTACCGATGCAACAGATGATCATTAGCAAGAAGCTAAGATCTCTTTGCAAAGAGCATGACTTACTCTTTCATACAAAAAAGCAGTCAAATCGGTTGGGAAAATCAGAAGTTATGAATTTTTGAAAATGGTGCGAAAGAACTTTCGGGACGACCTAATTTATGACAATAAATGACATTCAATATACAGTCACGCATGAGGAATACAAGGAGGACCCGGACTACAGCGCCTTTCGCTCACATCAAGCGCCGTAGTATGGCTGCGAAGGAAAAAATCTTATATATAAAGCTGAATGTCTGTTTGTCTGTCTGTCTGTCTGTCTGTCTGTATGTATGTCTGTCTGTCTGTGTGTACGTATGTTCCGAATAGAAAATTCCATTTCTGAACCGATCCGGACCAAACTTGGCACACATACACTACGGGCCCCGGCGGGTGTCATAGGCTACTTTTCGTCATCGATCGATATCGATTTTATCGATTTTTATCGGTTTTTTTGCTGAGTTCACCTACGGGGCTGGGAGTTGGCACAGGGGGGTAATCGAGCATGGGGATTCCGAATACAATATTGGTTTTCAGGATTATCGATTACTTTTATCGATTTTATCGATTTTTTTGCAAAGTTTGAGCTACGGGGCTGGGAGTTGGCACAGGGGGGTAATCGAGCATGCTGATCACGAATACAATATTGGTTTTCAGGGTTATCGATTACTTTTATCGATTTTATCGATTTTTTTGCAAAGTTTGAGCTACGGGGCTGGGACTTCGCACAGGGGGGTAATCGAGCATGGGGATTCCGAATACAATATTGGTTTTCGGGATTATCGATTACTTTTATCGATTTTATCGATTTTTTGCAAAGTTTGAGCTAGGGGGCTGGGAGTTGGCATAGGGGGTAATCGAGCATGCTGATCATCCCCAAGGGGGGTGATCAGCATGCTCGATTACACCCCTGTGCAAAATCCCAGCCTCGCAGGTCAAACTTTACAAAAAATCGACAAAATCGATAAAAGTAATGGACGATCCTGAAAACTAATATTGTGTTCGTAATCAGCATGCTCGATTACCCCTCTGTGCCAACTCCTAGCCCTGTAGGTGAACTCTGCAAAAAAATCGATAAAAATCGGTAAAATCGACATCGATCGATAATGAAAGGTGGACTGTGACACCCGCCGGGGCCCGAAGTGTATGTGTGCCAAGTTTGGTCCGGATACGGCGGAGCCGGGTAAGCCAGCTAGTGGTCCATAAAACGCTGACTTCGAATATGTATTCCATATCTCTTAGCGCTACGTGGACGATGTCATCAAATTCGTGGTCCACGGGTCGAAAAGGCCCAAAATATGCAAAAAGATGGAAATGCAAAATCTGGAGGGACACTGCCTCAAAGTTGTGTAAAAGCAATGGGGTGGAGATTCTGGCGATCAACTGGGCGGACTCAAAAGAATCTGAACACAAGTACTGCATTCGACACTGTTACAGCGTTTGTTTCTCATTCTTCTGAGTGGTTCGAGCGTGGGTCTGAAGATCGGCACAAATGGATCGGCCTTATTTATTAGGTTAATGCAAAAGTTTTCTCGCAATATGAACAAAATTCAACAACTTTTTATGCAACCGAAATTTATCAGTTCTTTCCTTGAAATAGTTGGAGGCATGGGCTCTATTACACATATTGGGATAACTTTCTATGAGCTGGTAGCCAAGAAAGAAGCTTCCAAAAACTTTCCAGAGTTTGAGTTTGGTGCTAAATAATTGCAAAGAGCCTCCAGGTAGTCCTAAAAATCAGTAGATATTCCTTGCATGGCAGTAGTCCACATCTCAATGTGTCAGTTTCAAAATCTCTTGAAAACGCGAAAACAAAAGATTTAGGAGATTAGATTTTTATTCGATTTTTTGCGTTTAGATTAGATGTTGGCTTTAAACTTTCCTGAGATAAGAAGCAAAGCTGCACGGTATGGCTTTGTCTGCTCTACACACCTTCCACGCATCTTTGGTGCGCGCGGTTGTGGTGCTATTGCAAGCAAGTAAAAAGCGCCATTATTTTCTTGACACTCTGCCTTAATTTACGCCTCGCGAAATGGTCTCCATCCCACGTCTTTAGTAAGGAGCAACGCGGTAGAGAGTGCTTCAGTCGCTAAACCTTTTGGGTGCTTAGGCTGGTGGGGTTTAGAAACAGGTGCGTCCTGTATTCGTGAAATTAGGGTAGTATAAGTAGTCATACTGGCTTCAAAAAAACGCTTGTTTGCATTTTGCATATTTCGCGGTCTTTTCCGCCAACTTGTAATAAAGTACTTTAAAAAATTCGCTCAAATTAGTTGATTTTTATCTGATTTCTCTCTCATTTGTATCAAATATGTATGGCCCAAAGAAACACAAGGGGAAGGTAAAATCAAATTCAATCATTTTTGGTAAATTATGTGCTCTCTTATAGCAACTCAGACAATTGCACCGGGAAGTTCGCGGGTGCTTGCTCGGCCACCAATCATCCATGCCGCGAGCTGCCCGGTATAAACCGATATTGGACCCGGTAAGGGACCGCGGCACATCCTGTAAGCGCCCGATGGTTGACCCGATTAGCATGTTTGTGAGGCCTGGAGAGTGAAAAAAATTTTGCCTGTCTTTCTGACAACGACTGAGTACAAATTGAGCAAATTGCTAGCTCATCTGTCGACATCATCTACTGTCGTCGATGACACTCAACCGATTGCTGAAGATTGTTTCGTGGGTATATAAACTCAAGTGTCACACAACCCAACCCGAGAAGCGATCACCAGCCGCACAAACACTTAGGGTAGCTCCATCGCGGCGGCGTACCTCACACGGGTTGCTTTTTGAGCTACAGCGTGTAAGAAGTGCGGCCTTTGATAAGGCCCGCGGCACGCCGAGTAAGGTGATTGGGCCGCGACTCTCCCGATAAGCTCCTTCCAATTTTAACTTTGGCCGCGGCGTGCGCGGCTGGAATTTTAAGGGCCGCGGCGCCCCATGTAGCACGCTTTGAGGCCGCGAACTTTCCGATGCAGTTGTCTGAGAAAGCGAGAAACCTTGCGATAGTAACTGGTTCATGATTAGCATTCAATGCAATTACATCACAATACTGTCAGGTTGGAAAGAAAGTTCTTGGACATCGCCTTCAAACAAGGTTTTTGTTTCGATGTAAGCAATAGTTGGGGCATGCTGCCACCATTGAATAGAGAAAAGCAATCTCTACAACCTATGTTGAGCGCAAGCCTTATCATTGTTCTCAGTGGAAATTGAAGCGCATAATCTAAAGCATAGGTTTTTGCCCTAACCCAGATCTCCAACTTCTATAAACGTTATGAAAACTACACATACTCCAGTTTACGGTATACATATGCTTACGTACCTACATGCACAGTTCGGGTGGAATTTGAGCTTGAACGACAAGAATAACCAGGTAATCGAAAAGTAACAAACTTCGCTCCTATTGATCCTAGGCTCCTCCCACTTGCTCAAATTTTAGCTAGAGGCAAGTGAGACTACAGCTGCAAATTTTTGCGCATGTACATGCATTAGATTTCGAGATAAAACAAATTTTAAAAAATGTTCGAAAACTTTCTTTCCAAAGTAGTTTATCGAAACATATGTAAATCAAAGGAAAATGAACAACGACATGATACACGAAAGAAGATGTCGCACACGGAAAAACTGAAAAAGCTTTCATTTCAAGTTCACGTAAAATTTGTGAAAAGTAGGCAATGATGCAGCGCTGGGAAAACGACCACTTTGTAGTAGAACCAGGGCCCGACAGGAGGTGGCGTTTTAGAATTTTGAAAACGATATCCCCTTTGAAGCCAAAATTTCTTACGACTTCCCCTTTGACCCTATTTTTGACCCCCGTAAGTCCCTGACAAGCAGATATACACAAATAATAAGATGGGCGGCCTCAGCGCTTATTATAGTAGTACTGCTGGCTTTCCTGGTCCAGCCCGGGTCATCAAGGTTTCAGCTCAATGGGTTCATCCGCAAAGGAATCTATAAAAAAAACATAGGATCAAGATTTGCACAAACTTTGACGTTCATTATCATCATTGCCGGCGCGCTGAGCGGTCGGATCTCCTTTAGCGGTCATA